TAAAGTTCCTAATCCCACTGTAACGGGGTGAACATGCCTTCTGTGGTTTGTGGTCTATTCCCAAAGCTCGCTGCAATAAACCGTCTAATTAATTTTTAGTTTTGTGTCCGTTTCCAGAGAAAATAAAAGCCTGGTGTATTGGGAGGATGTAATTTTGATCTGGAATAATTTTTGATGACCTGTTTATGAAAAGAGGTCACTGTTTATTTTAGAATCATTGCCAGCTCTGATGCTGATTGAGATATTATGAAGATAGTTTTCTCTACAAGTAGAAAACATACTGGGAAATGTGCCTTAGCATCTGTACAAACAGGTGTTTGTTCTGAATCAATATCTTGTTTTAAAAACAGTTAAGTGAGGTGCTTTTGCATGTGGGTAATGTGATCTTTTAATAAATACTGTCACTCTCGGTGATGGAAAGTAATTAAGTAGCCTATATCTGTTATGATATTATTTCATCAATTAGACTTAGAAAATATACCTTATTTAAATAAAATAATAAAGTAAAAATGGTGCCACATTTATCGGTAATTGCAATCTACTTATATATAATATATATTATTCTGATATGGGCCATTCTGCTTAATGAGTACCTTTATTTTTGGCACTTAAATATATCTTGATGCTAGCACTTCTGTACTTTTACTTCAGTAACATTTTCATTGTACCAATACTCTTATAACAAAGTCTTTCAACAGTGCGGTGTGGTATTACTACTTTTACTTCAGTAAAAGATCTGAGTACGTCTTTCACCACTGATGACATTTATAAATATTAATGATTCATAATACATTCATTTTTAATTGCATGCTAAATAGGAAGATAATCCAGGCACCAAAAAAATAAAATAAAATAAAATAAAATCAACAGGGAACGGCTAAGGGAAAGGTTATTTAAAAGCCTTTACTATAGTGGCTAAATCATTAAAAAAGCCAAAATGTTTTGACCACTGTCTTTAGCAGGGGCTTTTAAGAAAGACAGGATGAATTATTGCATGCATTCATAAAAACAACAACAAAAAAAGTCAATTTCTAATCTGACTTTATCGTCTTTTTAGGTGCAAGTATGATTAGGTTTAAGGTTTTAGCAGCAAAGCCTATTAAGAATAATATCAATACTAATACTCTTAAGCCTTTATTGAACACCAGAGGGGAAATTTGGGTGTTGCAGCGGCACAAAGACAGAAATAAGTACAGATAAATAAGTACAAGAACTATACAGCAGCAATTACACAGACAGAGTGACAAGTTACAAGATAAAGGGACATGTAACATGTGTACTCATGATGTCTGCACATGTTGCTGATCAGTATATAAAGATATGTGTTTGGTTTTACACACAGGCCTTTCCACACAATCTGTGGGTCGCTGTATAAATGAGGGAAGGTTTGAGGGACTCTGCTGAACCTCTCTCCTCTGTGCTTCCTGTGTCGCTCCAAAGTGCAACATCTAAAAAATCAGTAGATAATTATTTAAAATTGCACATGGTGGTTCATCCAGCAACATATCTGAGAATAATATGATTCACTGTGACAGTCCTCTGAGTCTCCAGAGCCAGTGCCGTCTTGTTGTTTTTTTGCTGTGAGTGAAATTACCACAGACAGCATACTGATTATTGTGAACACACATCACTGGATTGTTCTTAGTGGTTTCGGCTGGTCCCTTTTGTGAGTCAAATGAAACGTGTTTTAGGGGAACCTGCTGAGCGTGGCACCGGTGAGCGCAAAGCCAATTGGAGCAGAAACTGCACTCCTTGACGCAGCGAGACTCAAACTAGAAGCACAGCCAGCACACGACACTGAATGTATACCGTTGGCACGAAATGGACTAAATGGCTCTCTGTCACATCTGCAATTAAACAGGTCGTGTTTTACGGTGTTGAATTATTCAGGAACACAGGCTGAACAAGCACATGACATGACACAGGGCTTCCATAAATGATCTTTGAGTGATGAACCTACAAGTTTACATCCATCATTCCTTTGCCTCTATTTTTAGAGCCTGGTGATGGGAATGGAAAAAAAATAACAGAGATGTCAGGATGTGAATGGACAGCTGTGAGACATTAATATGGAAGGAAACATGTTTTAATTGTTGAAAAGTGTTTTATGATGTGTTTCATTTCAAGGAAAAATGTGATAAATATCTGATTTAGAAATTGATTTCTAAAAGCTATATATGTCTTTCTGAAAATAAATGTATCAGTTATTATGCTGATTTGACCATTGCTGGTAAATGAGAATGATTCTGCTACATTTGGAAAAAGTACACCACCTACCTTGAATCCAGGTTGATTAAAATTCCTCAACAGGGCAGGCTTGTGTCTGTGGCTGTTTTCACCCCTCACAATCGATCATCTATTTTAAAAAAGAGTGCAGTGATCAATTCTAAGAGTCCAAAGAACTCTGCCCTAAAGCTTTCCTGTAAACAGATATTTTGAATAAATAGACCAGACAAGATGATTCAAATTGCATTTCTCCTCTCCCCCAAGGCCAGAGACGACACTTTATGACTCTGAGCGAGACACTCCAATTATACCACAGGTCAGTTTGGACAAAAGAGTCTGCGAAATGAATGTAAGCCTAATGTAGCGTAAAACAAATAGGTTATAAAAAGGCTTCAAGTTACACTGAATTGCAGTCTACTTTAATCCATTTTAAATACGCAAGGCAACAGGAAAACAAGTTATCTAAAAGCAGTACACAACCTTGATTTACCCGCACAAATAAGATCTCTTCTCAGGACTGTGTGAACGTGAAAAGACTGTGCTCAACTGATATCTCCTAATTAGCATGTATTTATTAAAAAAGGTGACATTTGAATTCTTTACAGATGACAAGAATGTCCTTTCTGTATTCTGTATAAGTTATATTGAATTTAAAACCCTTAATTAAAGCCAGTTTGTTTTGCTTGAACCTTCACACATCAAAATATTCTATATATTTTTAAAATGATTGCAGAACAACATAACAAAGTAAAATAAATCAGTGACACCCGAATAAAAAGAAAGTCAAGTGTTGCTTTGTGTACGTTCAATTGGAGTGAGAAACTAAAGAAATAAAATTTGAAAGTCGGTTCGATGACCCACCTGCACATGGGCTACAATGTATGATCGAAAATGAATAACAGTTGAAAGTATTCGAAATGTCCTTCCCCGTCTAGCTATGATGCTAGTTAGCCAACTTTGGCTAAAGCTTACCTGTCGAGGAGAAGAGTAGCCACTTAGACATCCGATTTCAAATTCTTCTCTGCTTTCAACCATCTCCACCATTCAAAAGCATCTCCTATATAGACCCTCGCTTTGCCTTGAGTTTTGTCTTGGTGTTTTTGGGAATCATAACGAGGTCGTTTGTGTTTAGTGCACCATCAGCCATTGTAGCTCAGTCGTAACTGTAACTGATGCTGAGACTCTACTGACTGCGTGACTGGTAGATGGCAATGGGTGGCGCAACAGGCCAAAACACAAATTCAAAACATAAACATGATTTGCAGACCGTAATTTATTTTTTTTAAAATGCGAATATTCTGGCTGTACTATTGTTGTCGGTGTTATATTAACATTAATCCTTACTCTCTGTGACATATTAGGATGATTTTACAACTATTTGCTTTAGATATCTTACATATAGCTCCTTTAAACCTTATAGGCTACTTTAGTAATGCAATTCATTATTTATCTTAAATGATTGTGGATAGAAAATTTACTTCTTCAGGTTGTAGTACAGTTTCATAAGAATCTCACAAGTGTTAAAAGTTAAATTCTAATTGCTTAAGTATTACTGTTTTATGTTACTTTGTACCTCTATTCCACTAAATTACAGAGGCAAATGTTGTATTTTTTTTACACCACTTTCTTTACCTGCAAGGTTTAGTTACTTTGCACATTACGGTTTACATACAAAACATATGATTATTTTAAAAAACTAGAGACCATTTCATAATGGGATCACAGCTGCAAAACAGCAGCCCACGATGTAAGACAAATGTGGGCCAGGGGTGTGAAATGGAGGGGCAATGGCCCTTTCCCTACATCCTATCCCCCTACTTCTGGCCCCCTTGCTTGGACCACTTTGACCGTGGCCTTCATTTTGATCTTAATTACACACCTGTAAAGTTTCATGACTCTATCTTGTATGGTTGCTCCCCTATTTTGTTGACAAAATCTGTCCAAAGACAGATAGCTAGACTCAAAACAGCGTCTGTGGTAGTTCCCACAATAGGTGTCACCAGGACGACAAATTGCAAATTGACCATACCAACCATTGCAACAGTGGTCTGGTAATGAGATGGATTATTACAAATAAAAATATTTGACAGAATATAAAACAAATTACCCAATTTTAATGACCAAGAGCAGTAGTTCCCAACGGTGCAGCCACTGGGTCCAGATTTCTCTTAAGTCATTAGTTCAAGGTCCACACAGTTAGTACATCAGCATCATACTTGCGTTTGGCCATGCCATCGAGCTAGTTTGCTGTCTCTGTCAATGAGCTGTCCGTTATTCACACACTACAGCAGAAAACAGCACTTCAAAATATAAGCTCTGTGCCAGAAGATCACAGAAAATTGACACATTAATGAGTCACTTGCGATCCATTCAGAATGGACCCACCCACTTTTGGAACAGGACCCACCAGTTGGGAACCATTGACCTAGAGTACATTAGAATAGCCTAATTTCCTACTCATTTGTGTATCACTGATATGCTAATAATTCATTATAGGGCTACAACAACAATATATCTCTGAATTGGACTGATGCATAATAGTTATGTGTGGACTTTTTGACTGCAAAGATTTAGCACATTTTACTTAAAAAATCATTTCCCCTCTGAATAATTATAAAATTCTTCTTCTTGAATGCTTAAAGTTCTTGAATGTCGTTAATTAGAGCCATATTTCGTGTAAATAAACTCATATATTATCCAGAATACTCTTAAGGACATGAACCAGCTTGGACGTGAACTCTAGTCTCGCGAGACTTCTGGTCATGTGACGGCCCCATGATCATATGCGGAAGGAAGGATCTCAAACAACACAACACAGTCAGGGGGATAACGCTAACATTTTACAGAGTTTATTTCCCGTTTTTAATCTTTACCTCGCCTCCTGTCAACCCAGCAATGGACGGATCTGTAAGAGCAACGTCAGACGCCGCAGCCGGACCGCAGCCTTATTACAGAGGGTGAGAAATTAATCAGTTGCTTTAAATGAACGGCTAACCTTAGCTAGCTAGCCTGTTAGCTTAGCTGACAGTTAGCCTCGCTGTCTGTAGAGTGACGCCCGCCCCCCTCTTTGCTGCTTGAGGTTAAACATGCGCCAAAGTTTACAAAAGACTTGTATTTGATGTGGCATTACCGTTGAACGGATAATAAATTATCGCCAAGGGACACCCCCACATCAGTCGTTAGCATGCTGGCGTCCCAGTGCTCCTCAACAGTAAGGTCGTTGTCTTGTTATACCTCTGCTGACTGTTGAACTTGTGTTCCTCTGCAGAAATGAAAGCTCCCTGGTTTCAGCCCTCAAGACACTGCTGTTCTTCACTATCCTGATGGTCACGCTGCCCATTGGGCTTTACTTCGCAACAAAGGCGTATATCTTTGAGGGTGAGCTTCTTAACACTCCCTTGTTTGTGTTTGCATGTCAGTCTTTAAACGTTTGTCTGGTTTCAATGTTAACTTAGATGAAAAGAAGTCACTACCACAGATGTCCTCTTCACCTTGTTGCGTGTCTTTTCATTGCACCACATGAAAGCTTTGCATAGTAACCACAGTCTGACTGATACTGGAGTCTTTGAGCCGATACAGAGAGAGTTTAAAAATCCAATTATTGTATTTCAGCTGGTATTTTTTTTTTTATATAATCACATGAAAAATAATACAGAAGTGTTTTGTGGTGTAGTGCAGGAGTATTTAATTCAAATGCAAAGAGTTCCAGTTACTAAAATTTCCTTCTAGCAAAGGTCTGAATCTCCTACTAACTAAATCATGGGTGCCAAACATACGGCCCGTGGGCCAGAAGCAACCCGCCAAAGGGTCCAATAGGGCCCACTAGATGACTAGACATAGAGGTACCAAGTTTCAGGAGCAAATTAAACAATGCATTGCCTACTCCATCTAAAATTCAGCCTCAGAGGCTCTCCCACCCTGACCAGACTACAGCTCTGTGATATATCAATGAATTCTTACTGTGATAGTGTTTAAATATATTTAGTCTCACTCACCAGACCTTTCTTTTCTTGAAAAGGGCCGACTCTCACTTTAAGATTGGAGAAAAAAACGCCCCGGCTGCTTGTACTTCTTTCAACCAATCACAGTCGTTCTGGGCAGTGCCACAGCAACAGTGCGCTTGCAAAAATACTGCCGGGGGGAAACAGGTTTTGGTGTAACATACCCACAAAAATATCGCCTACAGGACGCGAACCATGGCAGAAAAATGGCTACATCCCCACAAGATCAAACACCACAAAAGTTAGTAAAGGACGTGTTGAAAACGGTTGAAAACTGCTACACAACCAGAGGTGGTAGGGCAGGACTTCAGCGGGTGGCTCGTTCCGCCCAATGAGAGGCTGATCTATGCAGCGAACTTCCGCCCACTCAGACTAAAATATATTAAACATTGTGTAAAATATTGTCAATCAGCAGCTTCAGTTCAAATCAGACTGTATCACACCTGAATCAGGAAATAAGTGCATAAGTGCACATGTAATGACAGTGAGAAGTAGACTAACTCAATGTGGAAAAATGTGTACTCAATATAATTCTTTACACAGATCAGTGAAAACACTGGAACTAATGCAACATATAGGTTATTGTGCAATGGTTTTATTGGTCCGGCCCATCTGAGATCAAATAGGGCTGTAAAATGAGTTTGACACCCCTGGTCTAAATTATGTCCTGTACCCTACATCTATCAAATAAAATCAACCACGTGCATTTCTGTATCACTTCAACAATACTGTTAATTTTCAAAGTAGGATACTTTTCACACATACAGACATATTGAACTTGTATGAAATACAAGCACTGGCTCTACAGTACTTTTACCATGAATAAAATTAGTCCGAGCGCAATAAACTCAAAGCCTACATTTCAAGTAAAAGCCTGTGACTGCCCTGCCGGTAGTCTGAATCTTGGCGTGGATTCAGCGCCATTCCCATGCACATGTGTAAGTGTTCAGTGATGAGCCTGGAACAGCACTTGGTTTTAGTAATGTCCATTGCTGAGAAAGCTGACTCACAGCTTTAAGTCGACCCAAATATGGCCGTGGTGTGTAGGGCTACTTTGGTTAGACCAGAGAAAAGAGTCTTAGACACAGTCAGTAGCCAGAATCTGGTGGAGTCAGTTGCTTCATGCTCCACGTTGTCATCTCTCTCATGTCAATGATTTGATTAGCTTAATTGAGCTATTGCCCTGTTAACAGAATGAAATGCACCCACAGCCTCAAACCACAACCAAAAATAAAACGCTCCATTAAGATTACATTTCATGCTTATTAATCTGTCAGACACTGGTCATGGGTCCAGTAGAACTGTCACCCAGTCCAGGTCTGGACTGCTGTCCACCATTTGGTGATGCCCGTTATAATGGCATCACTGTCTGTAAACAATCACAAACAATTTCCCATATCTCTCTCCCTTCTTTTCCATTCATATCTCCTTTGCTTACTCTAATAAAGGCAACACATGCCCTAGAAATACTTTAACAGATATTTTACTTGCCAACCATATCATCACATAGAAGGAAGGGTGCGTGCAAAATTGCTAATGTTACAGCTCAGTTGAGGAGGACGCTAATAATGTTTACATCATGCGCTGTCACGAGCATGAGCCGCTCATCCATGAGTAGATGCATGCTTCCTTCTGTGCTGTGATACAGTTGGCCAGTGAAAGAAAGAAAATAGTTCCGACATGAAACTGCTCACAACAAGGTCCGTGGATTATTACCAGGTCATGATTTCTGGAAAGAGACACTGCTGTTGAGTTCTCAAATGTATTTTAAGCCAAGTGCTGTCGAGCATTACATCCAAGAGAAGGCAGACATCTCTACGGTGATATCTTCAATACTCGGCAACTCACACCAAAACTATCTAGGCTGATAAATAGCACTGTGGGTTAGAGATAAAATATGTATCTTTGACTTTTGGGTGAACTGTCCCTTTAAATCTAAGCTTATGAAAGTTGTGTGCATCCTGATTACGTTTGACATAAAATACGATTTAAAGAACAGGCACTGTAATGCAGCTGCTGGTCGTCGTCACTGTTAACTGTTCTCCATCTCATTTCCCAGGTTCCATGAAAATGTCAAGCTCTGACAGCTACTTCTATGCAGCCATTGTAGCAGTGCTCGCCGTGCATGTGGTTTTGGCCTTGTTTGTTTATGTGGCCTGGAACGAAGGCACGCCTAAAGGGAAGGGCAAACACGATTAAGGCATGTCCTTATCAGCTCATAAGACCGGAGGAGACGGACAGAGACGGGCATGGATCCGCAGCGCCCCCCACCACCGCCCCACCCCACCCCTCCACCATGGGCTCCAGCACTAAACACGGCACCATCTACCAACCAGACAGTTAGAGGATCTGGTTTGCGCTTAGGCTTTAACGCAAGGTTAAAGCATGAAACTTCCGTATAATTCCCCGGCATGGGGGGAGTGGAGGCTGTTGGGTGTGTTTATTTTCACCAGCCTCAGCAGGTCCGCTTTTTGACTTTTTGTTGTCTGAAAATGTTACTTTTGTCAACAGAGGGCCGCCCCTATTTTTAAGAGGCTTTGTTATAAGCTGCCATTTGGTTAAGTGCTCTAAGTCCCTTCACAGTCAGAGAGTTTTTCGTGTGAGAAAACATCTTGGGTTTTGGATGATGCGTGTGCACACTCTGTATGTGCTTGTAATGTGTATGTATGAAGGATTTGATTTCCAGAATGCTCGACATCCATTCTGTGAATATTTGTGCTACTGAATTAATCATCCTGTCCTCAAATTTCAGTTCTTATCTGGATACATCTAAAGATGACTCTTAACTTCTGTAACCCATAATGTGCTTAACACTCATGCTGTATTTTGGATCAAAATCTTCTTAATGTCTTGTCTTTCAAAATTATCACACTTATCTGTTTGTCCTCGTAAACAAGTGTTTTTTCTTTCTGTTTTTAAGTGTGTGTACTGTAGCTCAGTGATGTTTTGGAACTTTGAATTAGGAAATTATTGCAAGATCAAGTTGTATTTAAAAAAAAAAAGTTTTGTATTGAAGATGTTTGATGATTTGAGGATGTCAGTGAGGTTGTGATGCAGATGAGAAGCTTGACCTGTTCAAATAAACTGGAAAGACTGTATCTTTTTAGTTGCTTCACATATTTGTACGTGTCAAATTGAGCATAACACTTATTCGTTTGGTACTACTGATGTTCCCTTCAAAGAATACTGTACGCCAGTGATACAAAATGAGATGTTAAAAGTCTATTTTTATGTAGACGTGATGGTTCTCAGGGTTTTTATAGGTTTATAGTGAAACTGGGGCTTAAGCCTGTCATGTATGAAATATAGCTGTGGTCTCATAAAATCGTTCTTATCTTTGAGAAGATGCAGTGATGGAATCTAGGATATTCATTTTTTATAAATGAGGTCTGTGCGCGTGATAAACAAGCTGTGCCACACAAGAGGCCATGACTTCCCCTACCATCTGTTGTGTAAGCCACACCAAACCAAAGTGTGTGCACAGAGGCGTGCGTGTGTGTGTACTTTATTTACTTAGAGAATTTTTATTTTCTGAGGAATGTCAGCTTAGCTTTATTTATGCAAAGTCAAAATCAGCGCTTCCATTGAAAACAAACAGCATTTGTATGCAAATAAACAGTCTTTGTGTGGCTGTCTTTGTCACAGATGGATAGGTTTGTTATAGTGTTTATCCCAGAAGCAAATTTAACTGTCACAAGCAACAAGCCTGACATGGTAAAACAAAACGCTGCAGTGAAACCTATTAAAATTGATTGCCTAATTCATCCTCTTTCAAAGCAGAATGCACATAAAGGCCTTTTATTGTGATAAATATTTTACATTGCGTGCACAGACATGAAAATATTCCACTTTCTAAATTGGTTACCCTGATTTTTTCTTTCCAAGGATTATAGAATCAAGTCGCCATAAAATCACAAGCTTTCTCTGAAGTCTGCTGAGACACTAGTTCATGAGCTACCTTATTGACTTCTGCAGAGAGTCTCAGCTGTCACATGGTGGCAGCAAACAGTTAGCCTGTCCCCACAGACACCACAATATGAAGGCCAAGACAAGAAGTGACAGACGCCGAGCCATAATGACGTTTTCTGCCTCAGAAACCATGTCAGCAGCTGATTTCTGTTGATTATTTGTCCGCGCTGTGTGAGTCTCTTCTCCTAACAGCGCATTTAGTAGAGCTCCTACACTGTATTCTGCAGAGTTTGGTATTGTTGGAGCTGTGCGGTCTGCGTTTAGTTTAACAAGGCTGGTGTTGGTGATGAGGTGACAGGCCTGCAAGCAATCAGACTGATTCAGTCAGCAAACATCAGAAGCCTCGTTTTCCTTTTGGCTGATATTTCATAAGCTTATCCTTGCAGCGACGCAAAGTTGGTGCAAGGGCAGGCTTTGCTGCTGGCTCTTTGTCATTTATCACACATTAGCAGGTTTGGTGTGTAGTGTGAGTGTGATGGAAAACAGGCCAGAGAGCGCAAAACACTTATTTGAGTCAGAGATGACATGAACACTGCAACATTTTGATGATTATATTCTGTGCCTCCTACTTCTCCTACAATGCAACTGTACTGTCTCTTTGTATACATCCTTATTGAAGAGATTAAACTGATTATATAGAAACACATCATAATTAATGCTCGCTATTTAATGCATTCAGTCATTTACCATTACAAAATAGGTGTCTCTGTTTTTCCTTTGCCCAGCAGATGGCGTGCCCAGCAGACACAGCCCTCACATGAACAGCATGTCAGTGTTTTAGTGAAAGCAAAGGGAGAGGGCAGCAGAGTACTGTGATAAAGTAGGTGGAAAATGATATGAAGCATTGCACCCCAGGGAGCAAAACAGAATAAAGTGATAGAATAACTCATCTGGACACATAAAATTATATCCACCATTACACATAACCAGGGCGGTGCTTTTATGGTGTGAGCCTGTGCTGTTATTTCCCATGAAACTCTGCTCAGGTGCTTTTGAGAGAAAGTTACAAGCTTCAGCACAGAGGAAACAACAATGTGACTTATTTATCCCAAACATGTGAAAAAAATGACAGTATATGAAGGTTTATAAAAATCCACAATGTATGTAATTATTGTGCAGCTGTTTATAAAGATCTGCAGAAATCTAAAGTGTCCCCAGTCTTGACACTCCTGATTGGGCTACAATTAAAAATACTACACTAAAATATCCTCAGTCGAGCCCCACAGACTTTATAAATTTGCTGAAATTGAATTTTGTAGGTTTTTGTTGAATTCAACTTTATACTGTGTTGTGTGTGTGTGTGTGTGTGTGGTATTTTTAAATATCTATCTAAATACTATCTAAATAGCACAGCATCTCTAACTAGTAAGGTAAGCTAAATAAGCAGCCACTACACAATGACTGAGTGACATCTAGACCTTTGTAGCCATTTTACCCTCACTAGTCTTTAGGGACTGTACACAAATTTTAAGAGGGGGGGAGGAGGAGGGTTATGTGTGTAAGGAGGCAAGGCACTGTTGTTTGTCTCTCCTGAAGAGAAGGTAGAGCAAGTATCTTTCAGCAGCTCCCACCTTAATTTATTCTGCATCTTAACAAGAAGCAAAAAAATAAAATGTGTCCAAAAATGTAAATGTGTGACACAAAGTGAGAGTGATAGCTGTTAAATTAAACATTCAGTAAAAGGAGGCAATGCCTTGTTATTTTCCCCTATAATCTATGCAGTTGCTAATTCCATCTTTATTGTGCCATTTGATGGCCATATGACAATTATTATTTCATTAAGGGTCCATACACATGCCACGTTTTTTGCGCACTTAGATCCATTGTTGTCAATTTAGACGTGTAGAAGGTATTTTCCAAGGCTTGACAGCTGTGCCCTGAGATAACCAAAGTACGACTTTTGGAGTGCAAGAAAACACGGCCCATATCATGTGACGAAGAACAACCAATCAGCAACCAGCCAGCTTGTTTTGGAGTTGCATATTTTTAATTTTGTATTTTTGCTCTATGATGTGTCTGAAACTTTCTGTTGCTGCCTGTCTTGGCAAGGACCCTCTTGAAAAAGAACTTTTTAATCTCAAGAGGTTTTTCTAGTTATGAGAGGTGACTGAAAAAAATTGAGCCTCAAGGAAACAAAACAAGATATAGATTTTCCAGTGCTTTTATTTTTCAACATAATCCCTGTCAAGGGCGACACACTTGCTCCAGTGGTGCTGCTGAAGCGCTTTTATCCCAGTGGAAAAGAACTCTTCAGGTTGGGGCCCTACACACTCTCCCCGCCACGCTTAAATTCCTGTACCTATCATTCGACTGTGGTATATGAATGGGCATTGTCATGTAAGGTATTGAGCATATCTTAGTGGATTTCAGATGGTGACATCTTTTGAGATGAAGATATCTGATCACTCCAATATCTCCATTTTCAACAAATCACTGACAATTCACCTCAACAATCTGCAAAAATAAAATAAAAAGAGTTTGACTACTCATTTACTAGGTCACCCCCATAACTAAAGGTTAAATTTAAAAAACAAAACAAAAAAACAACAGACAGCAGACATCTCTTCTCCTCCGGAAATATCAGTCTATGCTAACTGGAGGAGAAGCTCATCATTTTAGTGTATGGCTACCCAGAGCTGGAGGACCTCACATACTTTAATAGCCTACACACTTGAAAACAATGAAGATCAGCTCTGATCTTGAGTTTCTGATAAGCAGGCTATGATATGGTGCTGGTTACGGTCGCTCAGCAACGTCAGGCACACACCTTTAAAGCTGGAAGTAGGTACAAGTGTAGCACCCAGCGCCTGACCTCGCATTCTCCAGGTGGTAAAAGGCACAGCATGAGTCCCAGCCCTAAGATATTAAAGTTTAAAATTAAGGTACACACCTTAAATTATTTTATTAATGATAAGATGAATTGAATCAGTCCAACAGTGTTATATTACTTAACTGCAAAATGTGAGGAGAGTGTTGCAATTGTTGTGTTAGTCAAGGGGAGGACGGACTCCAAAGAAAATATTGATAACATTGGCGAGGTCCTTGCTTTTTGAAAACACAATGTTCAGCCCGACTCCCCACCCAAGTAATTTTTGTACATTCCCTTGGATGAACTGCATTGAAATCACCATTCTCGTGTAGTCATGAGTGTCAGAGGTGATCATGCTGCTATTAATTCCACTCGCGGAGCTACAAAATACAAAAGCCACCATTGATCAAAGTCATGGCAGTTATGTACAAAAAAAACCCGACTCCGTGTCATCCAGTGTTAACAAATCACAGACTTTTATTACGTGATTCAGTCAAACTCGAAACCTTTAGATTACAATGCTCTGATGCAACTACAATTTCAAATGTTGGCCTTACACTAAAAGGATTTCATTTCAAAGTGCTGGATATCCATCTATATTCATAAACTCCTCTATTCATCTGTCAGCGTTTCAGAAACACACAAGCCTTTTTCTCCGAGATGATCACTTTATTACATCTGAAGATGATGTATGTCTTAAAACAACTGCGACTAACCTTCGTGTTTTATTCTCATTTGTAAAAGTAGATGTGACATGTTTCAGAATCAAACACTATTCTAGTTTACTCACTGATTTATGGAGTCATACGTTACAAATAATTCTCCTGACTGTTTTGTCTGGAAGGTCTGAAACACATTGTTTCTGGCAGCACAACACACTAAACTAAAGAAGGGTATGCCCAGACTACACTCCATCATATGTCAACATGTCAAGAATTCTTTTTTAGAAATTGTACTCTTTTGTTTTAACATATTTAAGTTAAAAAACCTTCCTCCCTTGACACATAAAGCACTGACAGAAAATGATGAATGTAGAAGTCCAAAACTATGAGGCAACATCCTCGTCATGAACATGCTATGTCGTTAATTTCAAGGTTTCCATACCAGGGGTGCCTGCGTGGTGCGCTTTCCTGGCAGACATGAGTGCAAGATGTGCATGTGTTGGATACGCAGACAGCAAAGACTTTACACATGACATGTTTATTCCCGCTCCAGCACGTCAGTTTTGGACAGGTTGAAATGTTTGTGGGTGCATGCTGATGACTCAAACTACACCTGGTGGATCCTCACTTCACAGATTCATTGTGTCCAAAATCAAAAAACAAAGGCTCAGTGTGTCTGCAGAGCTTTCATGTACTAAATGTCGGAGCTACAGTGTTTAGAAACTGATTACCAATATTATAGTGTCTCCTCCTGAGTTGATTTATGTGTTTCAGGGATATAAAACAACAGTTGCAACACGTGTCCCAGTGAAATGATTCCCCCCTTTTTCCCTGCTCAAGACTTGAGATTATAAATGCACTGCTAGCTTTGCAAATTTAAGACAGATTTATTTCAAGCAGTTTTACAAATATGGTTGTCACCAAGTGCTTTACAGAAAACAAACGGCACAAACACAGATATAAACAAGGATAAACAAAACAATGTGCTTATAATTATGTACTTGCTGGCTGTCGCAAAAAAAGAAAAAAAAAATGAGGCAGCACAAATGTGGGAACTCCTGAGACCAGTGCAATTTATTTATTTTTGAGGCGTGTCCTGGAATTAGGTACAGTATTTCCAGTGTCCAATGTGTTGTCAGATATTGCACAACTTCTCACTTCAAGTCTAAGCAAGTGAACTATGCTAAATGGTGACCTCAAAACGGTTAAAGGAAGTTAAATTTAACTATTCGCCCTATCTGATTTCCTCAAATGAGGTCAGGCCAGTGCTGAACAAGTTTCTGCCCTGGATTCTGTTCCCAAAGTTTGAGCAATTTCATACACGGAGGTGCATTTTTTGGGCTCATTTACATTCATGTAAAACCTGAGCAGACTGCGTTTTTTTTGTTGATTTTGTTAGGTTCTCAGTAACAGTGAATAGTGGAGAAATTCATACCCTACACAAATCAATAAAAAAAACTCTAATGTTTTATCCAATTACGTTTTTTGAAAGAAAAAAGGGCTGGGACACTTCTCAGTGGAGCACAACTTCCTTGAAATGTGATTATTGACCCACATCAGTCTTCACACATCCCTGTACACCTGCAGCTTCTCCGTGTGCCCTGTAAATGTCACTCCCATCTAAGCTGGAATGAGTCAAACCTGTGCCCTCTTAAAGAAGGGGGAGTCAGTACAGCATGTATGAATGCTTCCAAACAACATGTGATCCCCCTCGCAGCAATTTAAGACACCCTCAGAGAAACATAAACCTCCTCATATCTGCAGATCGTCTATTCTAGTCTTGTTGTTGCTGTGTTTGGCACTGCGGCCGGGCCTGGCCTGCGTAGGTGACCCAGGGGCTGATCCTGCTCCCTTCTTTCCTTTCAGGTCACATTCCTCTGGCTTGCTGCTGCTCCTTTCTACTGCCAAGTTGTCCTTGTTCTGCTTGTAGGCCGCCTTGCTGTGGTAGGGGTGGAAGGACGAGTCCGTGCCCTCGGAGAGAGGGGAGAGGTTGTAGCCGGGGACGGGCGGGTAGGCCGGCTGGACTTGGTGGAAGTAGTCTTCGAAGCTCGGCGCGTACGGCACCGCGGCCTCGCTGGGCTCCTTGGAGAGACTCACAGGGGACTCATCACCTCTCCTGAAGGTGATGCCCTGGCGACACTTGGTGAAGCCCAGGTGGTAGATCTCTATGAGGTTGAGGAACAGAGAGACACTGGCCACTCCCAGCATGAAGATGATGAAGATGGTTTTCTCTGTGGGACGGGATATGTAGCAGTTCACCACGTTGGGGCAGGGCGGTCTGTCACATGTGTACATGGGCCTCAGCTCGAAGCCATACAAGAGGTACTGAGCCACAATGAAGCCGACCTCAAACAGAGTTTTAAAAACCACGTTAAAGACATATGTGCGCAAGAGCTCCCCCTGCAGGCGCACACGTCCCTTGTCGTCCCTCACCAGAGCCTTTTTTTGGTCGTGCTTTTCTAAATGATGTGCATTGTGCTTGTCCTTGTCCTTCTGCTTTTCCTCCATCCGCACCAGGTGGAGGATGTGTCCCAGGTAGATCAGCGTAGGCGTGGACACAAAGATGATCTGCAGTACCCAAAAACGAACGTGGGAGATGGGGAAAGTGATGTCATAGCACACGTTCTCACAACCGGGCTGCTTGGTGTCGCAGGTGAAGCCCGACTGCTCGTCGCCCCACACCTTCTCTGTTGCGGCGCTCAGGATCAGGATGCGGAAGATGAACAGGACGGTGAGCCACACCTTCCCCACCACAGTGGAGTGCTCCTGCGCTTTTTCTAAAAGCTTTCCAAGCAGGTTCCAGTCCCCCATGGCTGCGTGAGCTCAGATCTGGGAGTGGAGGTACAAAAAACAGTCAAAAATAGTTTGCTCAGTTTGATTTGTGAGACATACAATAATTCTAATCCAGTGGGCAAAGTAAGCGTCAGTGTTACTGATGACTACAACGTCTCCTGAACGTCTTCAAGCAGAGCTCAGACTAAATAAGTCTCCAGGGGAGCCAAGCTGCTAACCGAGTGTACAACTGAGAGACTCTGCTCCTGAGCAGGTAGTGGCCTTTTCCACGTGGACGCAGACAGGTTTATATTTACTTTAGGAGGGTATATATTTGGCAAGTGCGGACAGGGGGGCAGACAGGTTCCAGTCATGACTCTGCGGCTCCCGGCCTTCATGGCCCGAGCAACGGGAACCTGATCCACAGACGCGGTGTAATCAAACACCAGGCAGATGTGGTGGAAGTGAGAAACAGTTGAGTAACGTCGCTACTGTCAGCTCCCGTAACCCATTATGTTATAAATATATTCCACTTCTGATAAACGTACTGTACAGTAGCGGGACAGCACATTCAGGGTCCGCTACTGCGAGACAGAACTCATTCTGATAACTGCTGAACTGTGGCAGGTGATGTTTGGCAGCCACCATAAATAAACCTAGCTAATGTTTTAGCAACTTTAAACAAATTCACCCCACAGACTATGTAATCCTCCACGATAAAAGATAATACATAATATGATCAACATTGTTAAAAAAAATTGCAGACGTGTGGACAGCTTCTAACATTGAGTTCAACATTTAAATTGTCTTAACTCCCAAAAGTACGTCAATCCACACAGGTTTAACTCTACAAATAATCACAGAAAATCCACATTTACTGGATAAACCCACCTTGTCAGCTCATGCATCTCCTGCGGTGAAGCCCTGCACGTCTTCGAAGGTCCATGAGGCCGCCTGCTTGGCTGACAGGCCTCAGTGCAGAGCTGCTGTTCGGGCCCCGGCAATGCCCTTGAATGGACAGGAAAAGTGGGCTCCCGCTGGCCACCACCTCCGTTCCACACCGACAAACCCACCGACTCAAGTCTTCTGTTTTCAAACACAGCTCAGGCAGGAATCAGGATCCAGGCCTCGGGGTCTTCCACTGACCACAACACACACACATAACCTGCTGGACACACTCTCAACCATGTCCGGCCTGCCCTCCCTCAACAGAGCCCCCCTCCCCTACCCTCTGTGGTTAAATTTGGCACAGGGTTCACTCTCTAATGTAAACTATTAAAGCCCCTCTACTCGCCTGTAACAGTGAGTGACGGGGTAGCTGGCCAATGAGGATGTCCGCTAAGTCTGTCTGGCCACAAGTGCTCTAAATTTAGCACGAGGGTCTCTCCTATCATGGGGGGCACGGTTTGGAGATGAGTAGCCATTTGCATCCTCAAGTTACAAATCAAGTGAGAGGAGGGAGAAAAGTTCAGTTTTGACATAGTCAGGTGTCAGTATTTTTACCCATTTAGTAAAACTTTTTGAAACAAACTCAAATGTTGTGTGTTTGCTAAATAACTTCAAATACCGTCAAATTATCAGGCAGTTTATTTCTTTATATTACATAATGTACACAAATAGTTTCAACCCATATTATCTATTAACCGGATTGTTTACCTGGGTGTAAAGTCCTTTATGCAGGTATAAATGTCAACATCAGGGTTTGTGTATGAACTACAGTTTGTATAACTTTATAAACAGATACCAGCTTATGGGACATGACATTTTCAGGACCAGAGAGATGCTAAATAATATTATACAGGGTCATATTAAATAAAGCAAGAGCAACTGTCTGTAATAAAGTAGGACAACCATAAACATTTTTCAGAAACCAAGAAAAAAAAGAAGCTACAATGAATTAAGTAGGCAGTATTTACAATTAAATACAAAGATATACAAAGATATATGTACAGTACTGGGATATTACAAGGTTTATTGACATACACTTTTGCTCTGTGCACTGTTCTGACTACTCTGACGAGACAACACATATTACTAATAGGTCAGTACTTAAGATATGTTTGTGGAAAACTGTTTTTAATCACTTGCTTAACAATGTTATCTAGAGACAGTCGTCCATATCTGGACAGTATTTTGAAACTTTCTTTGGTTCTCTAGCACCAATAATTCTAATGTTTCCATATCAGTATGCTTAGTTACACAATAGTTACAGCTGTGTGCAGTTTATTAAAGTCAAATAACTTAAAATGTCTTATAAAATCTACCACTGTTGGCTGAGTGGGCTGTTACTGACATTTAATGGCATTTACTCACATAACTGCCCTAAAGCAGTGGTTCCCAACTGGTGGGTCGCGGTCCAAAAGTGGGTCGCGGGTCCATTCTGAATGGACCACATGAAAGAAACACGCTATATTTTTAAGTACACTGAATTTTCAGCGCAGAGGTTTTATTTTGAAGTGCCGTTTCCTGCTGTAGAGTGATAGAATAACGAACAGTTACTTAACAGAGACAGCAAACTAGCTTGAGACATGGCCAAACGCAAGTAGGACACTGAATATATTAAACACCTAACCTGATCTAAGGTCAAAAGAGAAATCTGGACCCTGTGGCCGAACCAGTTGGGAACCACTGCCCTAAACCGTCATAATCTAGCTTTGACTCGGACTGGAAATAAATGTGGTACCTATAAACAACAATTCTGATGTAAATAAAAAGTTCACTTTCTATCCAGCATTTAAATTCTACTGTAATTTCTGCATCTTTAAAGGACCATGCCAGTGATTTTGCAAATCTTGGCTGATTTACCAATTGTCCTATATTACTACTAAGCTAATTTTATTTCACGTATGTCTTAGGAACCTTCTATTTTTTGTGCCGAAGCTACATTATCGTTGCACGAGAAAGCCTCTGAGATGTGGCTGAATGAAATATCAAAAATCTACTGGTTGGTACATTCATTCGCGAGTGATAAACTGACATCCAAGAATTAAGTTTTGAGAAACTTTTTTGATGTGAAATCCCAAATACTCATGTTATCTTTTTCAGAACAATGTTTGCTTGATTAGCTTAATTTTCATGAATCATAGCTTGTAAATACGACTGGTGGTTTCTAACCTGTGCACCAACCACCCACACCTGCAGGATTTTCAAACAAATCCATAATTTAATGTGTTAACAGCGACAATGACAAGCATGGTTTCTTCAACTCAAGAACTTTACAGCTTGGCAAGTTGCTTCACATATTGTTTTTTGGATAAAACCACCAAAATCTGACAAAAACATTTGAGTTTTTGGCAAATTTTTGACACCAACTTCAGCTATGCATGATTTGCAATAACACTGGTATGGTCCTTTAACCTTCACTTCTGGCTCCAAGTAGTTAAGAAGAGCTTCAACAGCAACTAACATTTGTGTCAGTAAAACTGAGCAAAGAAAAACAGATGACTTAAAAAAGCGATTGACTGAATGACACATAAATAAATGGCCTATATACAAAATATGTAACAACACTGAGCAACATGCTCCATGGACGTGTGATTACTGCTGATTAGTTCAAAGGGAGCAGGAGAAGAAGAGTCTCAGAAAGCAGAACACCTTTCACCCTTCTCGGTCGGGCTCTTTTTGGTCACAGCGAACTTAGACTTGAGAGAATGATCTGCTATCAGCTGATTGATTTCATTTTGCCTATAAGAAGACAATCTTTGACTTATCCAAGCTACTTTGGACTCGTCCTCAGGGCCTTGAAAACTCTGTTTGCAGGCCCTGCCTATGAGGTATACCACCTCGGCCAGGTTAAGCAGCACACACACCCCAGACACTGCCAGCATGAACACAGTGAATATGGTCTTTTCTGTCGGTCTGGAGACGAAACAGTCCACTGTGTTGGGGCATGGGTATGAGTCACACTTCACCAAACGCACCATCTTAAAGTCAGGATAGATCAAGTAGAAGATGTAGAGAAAAGCCACCTCAAAGATGATTCTGAAGATGATACTGATCATGTAAGTCCACCACAGAGCTCCGGTGATCTGAAACTTCTGGTTCTTGATGTGTTCCAGTTCCTTGGGGCTGCCACGGCCCGACCTCTTCAGAATCTTCTTGTCAATGTGGCGTCGGTGGGCCACATGCATGGCCACCAGCAGAGCGGGGGTAGAGACCAGAATGAGCTGGAGCGCCCACAGGCGGATGTGCGAGATGGGGAAGAACTGGTCGTAGCATACGCTGTTGCAGCCAGGCTGCTGGGTGTTGCAGGTGAAGCCGGACTTCTCATCTCCCCAAACGCTCTCAGCGGCGACCACCAGGACCAGGATGCGGAAGATGAAGATGACAGAGAGCCAAACTCGTCCAATGCCGGTTGAGTGCCTGTTTACGCCGCTGATCACGGCATAAAAGGTCCCCCAGTTCATTTTCGACTCCAGGACTGCAAAAAATGAAGGTTTTCAGTCAAGGTTACACTGATGTGAGCCAAGGCTTGAAGTTAACTTTTATTACCATGTTATTAATGTGAAATAATATAAAGTAAAGGAATTTTATCAAAATGTCTCTCGAATTTCTTAAAAAACACCATTTAGCCCTTCGTATTGAATAAAACTCACATTTGTAGCAACGAGTTATCAGTTTAAATAACTCAAAATTATTGTTGTCGTCCACAACAAATTTAGTAAAAGTCTAACTGTAACTCTGACTGTAACAGAAGTTTTTAGAGGTTTACCAGGCTCAGCCAGCGGTGCAAGCGGCGTAAGCAGCGCCGGGTCCAAAGATGACCATCTTGAGGTGTGGTCTGAGCATCAAGCTGGCAGAGTGAGGAACAACAGAAAAGAATTGCCAAGTAGCAAGTTGGCCGTATAAAAGCAGGGGTGATGGCCTCCCGCCGTGCGCCGTCACAAGACGCAACAGGACGAGGCCAATTGCGAAACATTCGCAGAGCCACGTGATGTGCTCACCCTGTATTAATACTGTACTCCCAAACTGACCTACAGCCCAGTTGCAGACAGACTGACAGACTGCCAGCAAATTTCTCCAAGGAACCGGCAAGACATCCATCTCATTATGAGAGTTTTTTTTTTTTAAGACAACTGAGAGACCTCTGTTGTTTGTGAGAACGGCTACAGACTTCATGAGATTTACCAAAAAATAAACTTAAAATGATCACACTGACACAGCTGATTCATTCAAACAATGTTACTATAAAAGGTTATGATAATTTAAACAACATGGCAAGTGTTTGTCGAGTCGAAGCAATGGAGCATGTCAGTCACCCCTCACATAAAATCTGACCTCACTGCACACTGTTAGTAGAAAACAGAATGAAATGATGGAGCATTTTACCTTCAGCTGTGGTGGTACACAAAAATGTGTACAAAGAAGAAATGAATTAAAATATTGTGTTTTTTTAGCGAGCCAGAAGGCTGGATTGAGAACACCATGCGTTTGGAAAATGCTAATCATTCCTCCGCCACTAGCCAGTGCCCTGCACCGTAGCAGTCATATGCTCTTATATAAACTATTTACATACAATGGCGGCCTTTATTGGGCTGCAACAAGACTCTTTAGAATTCAGATCAAACGCCTCGATTTCCGCCTACCCCGGGCAAAAGAAGGAATCTGTGTGGACACAAAAGGCCTCAGCCTGCCACATTATTTATTGTGCTTGGCAGGGCAGGGAAGTGAAGGAAGCTTTTGACCTGAGGCACTGTCATTGAGAGCACACAGTCACTAACAGGTCTGCGGATTCATCCGGAAAATACACGAGCTGTTTAAATAATGCAAAACACTAATGTGGCAGAAAATGAAAGCCAGTCTTAAGGAAAAGATCATTTATATACAAGATATAATTAAAACCATTCGTCTCATTTGTTCAAAGCGATTTTTGCAATGTAACCATGTCAAAAATGTAAATGCTGCAGTACTGCAAATTAAGCAAATAAATTCTAGTTCTGAAAATTAAATTAACTTTGTTTTGTGCCAGGTGCTGTTCTTACTGATGTTTTTAACAGGGTGACTCATTATCTTTGCCTAAACTTCTTATGACCAATAATTACTTTTGTATACAGCATGGGTCATCAACAGGGGGCTCGCGACCTCAGAGATACTGCAGGGGGCTGCCAAATTATTGTTTCTAATTGGTTTTTTTTATTATTAAAATATGTCTGAATATAGACATTAATATTAATCCAAAATATTATTAGCAAAGATAAATCCCAACCTATCTAATTTACAGTACACAACACTGATGACTATGAATCCTTGTCAGATGAATCCATAAGAATCTATCAATAATTGTTATATTAATAGTTTAGTATTGTATGTTTATACATGGCATTTGAGGCCGCCCTACATGTTTAATATGCAACTTACAATATACACATAGTGGGGGTTCCTTGCTCCATCTCTCTTTAAGCAAAGGGGTCTTTGGCCTGAAAAACATTGAGGACTCCTGGTATAAAGTATTATTCCACTGTTTTGATAATAGCCTTCTGGGAGAATATGACATATTTAATCACACAAATTGAGATAAATATCCAGTCATTTGGGTTAAGGGTTGCTTTGCAGTAATGTCTAGAAAACACAAGTTAGCTGAGGCATTGGTTCCCAACCTGGGGGTCATCAAAACTTCACGGGAGGGTCACGAAGCCTTCTTGATTTTAAGGGGTGCTTTCAGACCTAGAGTTGTCTTGCTTTGGTCTGAATCAGGGACTTATTTTGTCACAAAGTTGCATAATTGCCTAGAGTTGGTTCGTGTTCTCACGGCAGCATTTACAAGCGGACCAGATCAAATGCCTTGCGTGAGAAAGCTGCTGTTAATTGGTCAGAATTTTCATGTCGGAAAAATCCAGGAAGTAAACAAAACGTTGAGAGGAGTACACTTTCAAGATAAATGCAACACTTTCTAATGTCACAATGGAGGGACAACTACGCAGGTTGATTTTAGCGCTGGTCATCGTGGACTATATTGCTGTAAGTGTTCATTTTAGTCAAACCATACAGTTTGAAAACGAGGCGCGGCTCCAGCTAGAAAACAATGTTTTGACGCATTGGATGTGCTGAATGTGAATATTAAGGCAGTACAGGAGGAGGTGCACATTAATAATCCTCCAGGACTGTAACATGCTCATGTTTAACCCAAACAATGTGTCATGTGACTGCAGCTGGTTCGGATCGAGGTCGGGACACATTCTCACCACAAACGAACCACACCAGAGTTCATTTGTAACTGGACCAAGACCACCTTTTCAAGAAGGTCTCGGTCTGGTTGTTTTGGTGGGGACCCGAGTGCGATTGCTGTGTTCACACCTGCCCAAACGAACCTCACTTAGGGGGCAAACGAACTTGAGTTCAATTGAACCGAACCAAACAGGGCAGGTGTGAAAGCACTCTAAGAAACTTAAAAATATATATATAGTTGACTTACATTTCAGCATTTTAATCATTTCTGTGAAGAAAACTAAATCAAATTGTTACTTTTAAAGTTCAGATGATTCAAGATATAGAGTTTTAAAAAAATCTCACGGGGCATGATGAAGATCTGAACACAAGCTATATTCTCATTGCCTTCACCTTCTGCTAAACAGCCTCATCCTGCTTTAGAAAAGCACAGTTAAAACAACCAAAGGACTAACAGAGAAATGACCAAGCAAATGCCAGTGTTAAAAATAATAATTAAAAAAATACATAATACAGAGAATCCTATAAAAAGCAGTAAGACTCATTTATAATTCAGCATTCACAAAAAATAACTTGCTCAGTATTCAACAAAATTACTCATTTCACAAAAATTTTGTGCAATTACTGCGTTCCCTGTTCGGGTTTGCGTACTGTACAGCTTATCCATTGTTCTGTACTGTTATTGTTATGCATTGAATGCCACATGAAATATCCATAAAATGTCACTTGGTCAGAGGTCATCAGTTAAGTCAATAATAATCCTTATGGGGTCCCTTAAGAAAAACGGTTGGGAACCACTGACACACGTGAATAAACTATAATTCCTTTTACCAGTATCAACTAAGATTGCTCGCTTTGTTCTCGTCAAATTCCTCCCTACAACAGTGAAACAATAATTTACAGTAGCGACAAACTGAATGCAACTGAAAACACAATGTGGTCATTTGTCATGTACTATCAGATGACCTACAGCGGTTCACTGTGCCATGAGCGTTTCTGCGTCACGTATGACAAACGTAGTGGGTGGGTTTGGGAGGCCTGGTAATTCTTTGAATGAACTCGACCTCATTTACATTCCCTCTATAGACGATACAGTACTCCACAATATAGAGACAGAGAACGTACAGTTGTAGGTAACGGGTTTATTATGAGAGCAGAGATATATACAGTGTACATTCAAAATAATAGATCTGCCATTGTATAAGAACTCAACATCAACGAAGGCAACATGGCTCTGATAATGAATATGAAATGAAAGCGATACATAAACAATTAAATAACATTAGACCTACTGCATGTGGCACACAGACAAATCAAGCATCACTTAATAGATGGCGGGTTATCTGACTGAACTGGCACCGCCTAGTGGCTGGAATAACCTCGTCATGGTTAAAGGAAAAGTATGAAATAAAAAGGGGAAATGTTCTAAATAAAACACAATGCACCACAATTAGGTATTTATGTCCCCATACATTATACATACTTAAAAAAAATCTTTCACACTATTCTATCAATGCTTTAAAGACAATAGTCACAACTTGTCTGACTCTAAAAAAATAGAATCTGAGTAAACAAAAAAAGAAAATCTTGAGTTCCAGTGATGTGACAGAGAACACAATGTTAAGACCTAAAAATACACAAGGAAGCTGATACATGCTCCTTATTGTGTACTAATCCAGTCAATGCCTTTCATTTTATTTTATTAATATTCATTTTATTGTTTATTTAAATATCCTTGATTTGTCCACGTACTGCAAAGTGCCAGTCGCAGCAGCTTGTCGATATGTAACCTGAAAGTCCACTGTATGTACAGATGGTCGACTGAAACTGGATGATTTATGTCTCATTTAAGAATCACTGAATATTTCAGTGTTTAAATTTGCGTGCACAATGGCAGGGCTGCCATTTGTGTTTTACATTTCACACCGGTTTGCTGTCGGACAAGCCGGACACCAGCAAAACTACACACATTCCCTGCTGTCTGAGTTACTTCCTATTCTGAGTATAGCACGAGATGAGGTACTTCTCCCACTCTGAGTCCTGTCTCATCTTCAGTTGAACAGTGCCTAAAAAGCAGAACACAAGACAGAGTGAAAATGAGTGCTGCTCTGGTCACACACAGACTATACTGCCACCTACTGTAGATACACAACCAGGGGTAAACAAACTATGACTCTTACTGTTTTTCATGAGGCCGACATTCTTCAGTTTGTTATGTTTCGCATGTCCGTTCTGGGCCAGCCTCAAAGACAGTGATGCACCCCTCCTGAGATGAAGATAACACCATTGTGCAGTTATTGTGCAGCTATTGGCTCTGAAACCTTACAGTATACACACATAATAAGGTCAACATATGCATGTATTAAGTCACTGTGCAATTTGAATTCGGAAAAATACACAACTTGTGCAGTTATGGCTGGTGAAATAAAACCAAAGGGCATACCTGTTGGCAGGGACATCAGATACATCAATTAATTTTAGTAACAGCTTTTTCACCTTTAACAATTCTAAATTTACAATTTACAATAAACTGAGTGTTTCATCCTTAAGTACCTCATAGCTCCGAGCTTTCCCTTTTCCAAGTACAGCTCAACCGTAACTTTGGGCCCCTGTGGGTAAAGTCTGGCATACAGCGTTCTGTTGTGCACCATTGCTCTGAACCAGCCCACTGCCTCCTCGGACCAATCACTCCCATTCACGGGCGTCACCTAAGGGGGAGGAAACAAACAAAAAATAACCATGAACTGAGATAATTCATTTCCTTTATCACTGTAATAGATAAGGCTGTGACTAATCATGTGGACAAGTGCCAACTGTCTTGAGTCTACACTCTTGCAGCAAAGCAAAGCATGTTAACCATTTCCATGTATGCAAATCCTGAGAGGGATAATCTGCACGCCTGTCGCTGGGAATCTTAACGTGTTCATCAGTGAGTGCTTCATGTGGTACTCTAGATACATGTGAATCATGGTATCTGTAGGGAGCCACTCACATTTGCCAGTGAGACCTGTACAGCCTGAAGAGGAAGGACGGTCATTTCTGGGGTCAGCTCCTTGATGTTCGACAGCAACAGGCAGGTGGTGTCACCGTAGTCCAGCCTCTTCACCTCCACCTTGATGGATGTCTCACCCCCAGTACCATCAGTGACATTTTTATCTGGCATCCAAAAGATAGAGGTGAGGTTAGACTGAAGGAAAAAAAAAAATCCAGAAAGGAACTCCCAAGTGGCTACTGGCAAGCAAAGTGACACTGCTACCATCTAGAGGTATGCATTTGCAAAACCATTCCAATACATAACACTGAACCCACCTCTGCTCACTCCACATATCTTCGTCACCTGAGCCCTGCACCATTGTTCTTGCTTCGGGAACCAACCCATTACTTGGGTTCCAATGTCTGGAATGCAGTTCTGCTCCGCATATGAACTACTGGCTTTCCAGCTGCTGCAAATGAGAAAAAAATAATGACAACCAGAAACATGTGGATTATTAAAAAAGCAGAAAAAAAAATCTACAAAGAAAGCAGTAATGAACAAAAAAAAGGATAAGTGGCTCTTTAAGTTCTGTAAATGTGATCAGAGAATCAGTGAGGGCTGAGAAAAGCTGAGAAAAAGCAGACAAGCGATTAGAATCCATGCTGAATGACTTACTCTGTGACAAGGGCCTGCAGCCTCGTGGTGGAGTCTGCCTGCTGGACGTAGAAGTTGCCTGGGCTGACAATATGAGACACCACAACCTCAGTCTCTTCAAACCTCCGAATATGGAACTCAGGGATGGTAATACCATTGGTTACTGGGGTTTTTGCATCAGCAGAAATGCTCTCATGCTTCGGATCTGTTTGGGTTTCCCACTGGACGTTTAGACAGGAGTGCTCCACTTGAGATGATATACTCTGACAGTCTTTATCTTCCAAGGGGCTAGCATCAAGGTCTCCCTGTCCCATCACTGCGAAGATGTCTCCGATATCCCACAATTCAGTCTTTGTTGCAATCACACAAGTATAGGTCAGAGAGCCACTTGATTCAACTCTTTTTACTCTGAAGATTGGGGCTTGGTTTTCTATGTCTGCACATAATGTTTTCGGTGCAAGTGCATTGATCAGATCATCTGTCTCATCATGTCTAAATTGGTAGCTTTGTGTTTTGATGGTAGGACTCTGCAGCAAACTTTTACTCCACTCCATGACCTCCAGTGCACCCATGTTCTTAGCTTTTGCCCTGAGGAAGTGGAGCAGCTGAGAGGATGTTTGTTTTTGGTGTTGCACCTGGACATCATCCTCACATCCCCATCTAATTAGCGGTGTTATTTTCATTGGTTTAGGGTTACTGTTCTCTGGGAGTACAGCTTGTATGGGAGGTAGCAGTACTGGTGGTGGTCTCTCTGGGTTAATCCCGGGTCCCTCAGTGATCGCAGGTGGAAGAATCACAGCATCTGATGGGCGTTCCTCTTCTTTAGCCGCTAAGTGAGAGGATGAGCTCGTGGTCGCAACGGCGCTGTTGTAGCTGGATGAGATGCTGCATATCATGTCATCCTGCTGGACCGCTGCAGGCTGGGAGATGAGGAAATGTTTCAATTGCTGGAGGGACAGCGTGGCTCCAAGCACCTGGACTGCTTTGGCTATGGAGCTTGCCATGAGCGAGTTCTGCAACATGGGCCCAAACTTGACAACGTGTGTCATTAGGATCCCTTTGTCTCGGAGTGGCTGAAGCAGATTTGTTCTCAATCCGTTTTTGACAGAGGGCTCGACACAGAGTTGTTGCTCTGTAAAGATTAGAAAAGCAGGAAGAGAGAGTGTTTGGTAAAATGAAGGAGCAGACTGAATACTTGATTAATGATGGTGATGGATAAATAGTTTTGAGAAGTTACTTTTGAAATGTAATCCAAACAGATCAATACTTAAAAATATAAAATTACCAGGCATAAAACAAACACAAAAGAAGCAGGTCCTGTTTGCAGTGGTGGAATGCAACTGAGTACATTTGCTCAAGTGCTGTACTTAGGTGCAAATTTGCTTATTATTAGTTATGCTACTAAATACTTCTACTCCACTACATCTCAGAGGTAAATACTGTACTTCTTTATTCCGCTGCATTTGTCTGACAGCTTTTCATTTCCTTCCCATGCAGTGAAAACCAAAAACCTCCAGGGGCTGTATTCACAAACTTTCTGAGAACACTCTGCGAGAGCTCTTAACTTAGCACAAATATTATGAGCAAGGAGTCCTAGCCTCAGATGGATTTGGGAAAATTCTCAGAGCAAATCTGAACAAAGAAGGGACAGAAACTTTTACCTTAGTGAGGAGGTGTTGTTGACCCTATTACTAGGTATGATGCATTCTTTTGAAAGGTGAGATTGTTTGCCCATTTGTGAGCCTGCAAGTGTGGACATCCAGTGGAAATTAAATTAACTGCATCACAATGAGACTGTGGATGCGCTGTCATTGTTTGTGTGATCATTCTGCTGGTGGAAGGTCGAGACAGACTGAAGTCATCACAGCAGCACCGTTACGTTTTACAAGTTGCCGAATATCTTAGTGTTGTGATGACTTATTTCTGGTGTTACAATGTTACTATGTTGGGTAGGAGATTGAATGAGATCAACCACAAACCTTATCTCTGCATGATCTAATGTGTAGCGTTACATTAACTCACTGTCATTCTGCGTTTGGAGAACATTTCTTCCTTTGCTTAAGAAACTCTTAAGCACCCTAAAAGTCCTCATTTAAACTGCTAACAGTTTTTCACCTTTGGAGCTGGAGATGTTGTGTGAATAACTTTGATCTTTACGAGGATCTAGTCTGAACTGTGAGGGCAAATTCTAAGAAAACATCGTAAATCTAAAAATTTTATTAGAATTTTGTCACAAGGAGCAACTCTTCATACCAGGAAGCTTTGCGAACACAGCCCCATATGTGTGCCAATTGTTAATGTTTTGGTAAACTAAGGGATGAAATGTTGCTTTGTGCTATGTCTTAAGCTTAATAAACTCTTTAAAAACCACTTGAATCGGCTGGAAAAGGCATCATAACCAAGCCATAAACAGGGCTGTTTTTATGAGCACGTGAAAAGTTGACTTATTAGAGATTGTGGTTCTCACAGGACAGCGACTCTACGAACATATGATGACCTATGTTGCAGTGCCCTAGATTAAGCTGTCCAGCTGTATATAAAGGTGTTAAAAAACATACTATTACCTTTAACATCTACAGCAGCAAAATGCAACACACACATTAATGCAGCAGTAATATTATTCCAAAAACATCATATATAACAGTAAAACACAGACAGGGAACATTTCACTGCACAATGAATACTTCTATTTCAGGAGCTCTGACTTTTATTTTGCTTATAAAACTACTTCCATACTTTTACTTAAGTAAGGTTTTCAATGCAGGACTTCTACCTGCAGTGAAGTGTTTTCACAGTGTGGTATTAGTACTTCTAAAGTACCTGAATACTTCTTCCACCACTGCCAATCTGTGGATTAAGTGTGGCAAAAGCTGCAGCCAGATTGCTTTGATGTTGTTAACATAATAACAAAGACGATCTCTTCTCACAACCTTTTCTGTGAGGCACCACTTCTCAGTAAATTTACTTTTAACTGTGCGTCTACCATGTTGATCTACCCCAGCAATATGCCACCGCATACTTGAAGACTCTCTTTGCAGTTGGTGCGAAATTCTCCTGTGTGAAACCCGACCAGTACCACTGGTAATCGAGCCAAGTAGCGAGTTAGATAAAGCAAGCATAAGCTTGGCAATGGTGGACAGCGAGAGTCAATTAAAGAACTTCAATACAATTAATGACAGTCATACCTTTCACTCTGCAAAATGCATTTTTGAGTTTGTATCGAAGTAGGCTTTTTTCAGCAACCCACAAATGGCAGCTGACCTAAATTATTTTATTGGCCAATGTAAATTTTTATTTACATTTTGCAAGTGCTGGGTGTTAATTTTGGACCCTGAAAGAAGGGCGTCATTGTCTTGCAACATGGCCTTGGGGTGGTAGGCTGGTCACAGCACTGCATGGCACAATAAGGTTGCTTGGAGCAATGTGCATTGATTTGATTGACAGACGAGAGGCAGTGCAATTTCAGTCAAGAGAACCAGTCAGAAACAACACTCAAAATTTGAGCGCATACTGCAGTATGAATAAAGCCTGTCTGGATGTAGAGATAATGCCTTGTAAGCCATCTTACCCTTGATGGTGTTACACTCAAATTTGTCCCAATGACTTTGCTGACCTGCGTTGTCCAGATACATGCCAAAAGAGGGCATTCCTGCATGATAAAGAGATGCAAAGCAATGCAATTCATGTTATTTCCTATATATAAGCTTTTAACATAAAACACTATACTGATCACCAACATTTTGATTGATTATAATTAAATTTATTCTGTAATTTAATGCCGTAATGCTGTTACATGTAACAAGTTACTCCCCACAAATCATTTATATTATATCAAGAAATGTGGTACGTTTGTCTCACACATGAATATGTGCAATGTCACATCAGCAGCTAAAATTGCATGATTAATTCTTGACTTACCAACTGTGATGTCTTTCAATAAAGCTGAGAGCTTGTCCATGGCTTGACATTTTGTATCCAAAGCCTTTGTGAGATCACTGAAAACACTCGTGGGGAAAGATGAATTCAAGAAACCTTGAACCTCTTCATAGGCCTGAGGAAAAAGGGAGGCAAGCTGACGTCATGTTGACAGCAAGAAAGGTTGTTTGTTTATTCAAAAATATAAATAAAATATTCTTATTTATATATTCTTATGTATTGTGTTATTGCCTATATTGAAATGTTAGCACAATACATATTTGATCTTGTATACTTATGCACTTCTTTTGCAATTTCCTATCATTTCTTCATAACAATATACAGTTTATGAACAACTTACGAACAGCATGTTTAGTTAATTAGCTAAAAAAAATGTTAATTAACATTGGAAAATATTCATTGTTTGCAGCTCTGGCAACAATTACATGCAATTTTCGACATTTTTTTCTTAATTAAAACTTAGCAATCCCAGCCAACTAAGTTAACATAGCTAACATTACCCAACTTAATAATAATTTAATAATTTATCTGTGTGGAGTAACAGTAATGTTAGCATGTAGCCTGTTAGCTAGCTTGCTAAACCCATTTACAGCTAATTTCACCATGACATGTGACGATGCGAAAGTGGCGCTACCATTAACGTTACGTTACCTTCTTGGTGAGGTTGTGAAGTTCTTGTTCAAGTGTATTCCGGGCATTTTCCAGCAGAAATAGTTTTAAAGTTAGCTGCACTCTCTGGGTGATGATGGAGGGATGTTGCTGAAAGTGGTTGACCTGCTGCAGCTGCTGCTGAGGAGGAGTCATGGTCGCTTGGGACGAACCGAAGTCCGCAGCCGGGCTCACACGACACGTCTGATAGCTAACGTAAGCTAACTAGCAGGTGTGTAGATAAAAAGCGTCAATACAGCTGCTCTGTATTACCCGTTTAGACGACGCTCTTTGGTCACATCGTCAGGTTTCTGGTTCCGGATGCGTCTTTTCTGCTTGTCCTCTTTAATGATGTCTTCCTCCACCCTGCAGTCGGTGAAATGTATCCTGCTCTTTCTTCAGCTACCGACAGATGGGATACAATGAGGAGCCAGAAGCGCCGCCCGCCATGTTGAAAACGCCCGTTAAGTGACTGAAGCTAACGCAGTTAGCACATTTGAAGGTGTGGTAGCATTTAAGCTAGTGGGTGTCCTGCTCTTTCTTCAGCTTACATGTCACCGGAGCCAACCTTTTATATGGTTATTTTTCTTCTTGTATAATGACGATTAGCAAACAGCTTAAGGTGTGTTACCGCCACAAAAGCTACAAGGACAAAAATAGATAACTGGGCAGTGGCCTCTTCCAGGTACAGTGGGCTGCCAGATCTGTGCCAACAATCAGTAAAAATACAATGTAATGCAGACTATCATATCCTCCTGAGACCCTGACTTTTGTTTGGTATGCATTTCCAAAATTTCCTAGCTATTTGAGATTAGCAGGACCTGATAAGTATAAAAAAACTAAACATCATCAACAAATAAATAAATAAATAAAGTCCCACTATCCTCAAAGGAGATGAGGGAAAAAAATCCCAATGTCTACAAACAAGTACTTTCTTAATAGTGTCTTAGCTTGTTACTGTTGCTAAAATTGGTGAATTTAGTGTGGCAAATCAAACTAGAAATGTTATGAATCATAAATAAACAAGTTTCAGCCATTAAATTTGATCAGGTTTTGGGCCTTCTCCACTTTTGTGTCGGGATTGGCTGCAGACTGACTTGGCAGAGATGGCTGCCATCTTGTTTTTACATGGATTAGTGTATTGTGGTCTTACTACTACTACATGACACAAAAAAGTGTCCACAAATGAGAACTGGAGGTCTGAGTTAAGCAGAATTATGTATAAGGTCCAGTAAACCCAAAATGTCTCAGGAGGATATCTATTTATATGTGAGTTCACAAATCAAATCCTCCAGATTATTCAGTCTGACCATGTAAAATTAAAGTGTAGCACTTAAATTAGATCAACATATTTGATGAAGATGATGTACTTACGTGATGACATTTTTTGTAGGTATTTTTGGGGCAGTACATGCTTGGTTCAGTGCACCTTTTGCAAGTTTTGGAGAAAGGCTTCAGTTGCATAAAATGTAATATTATGTCTTGAGGTTGCAATTACAACTGCTTACTACAATGATAGATTCTTGGGTGTATCTTCATCAGGGACCTCTGTGGTCAATGATGGATTACTGTACCGGCCTACCAGGTGCAGGCACAGGGACCCATAGGAATGAGAGGCCCTTAAACCTGAGGACTGTGCATGAACATTTCTTGTTTTGAAATAGAGATGTCCCCATTACACTTTGCACTCTTTGTTTCTAAGCCCTAATCTGCCTCTACAAATTATAATGAGATATTTATCTAATCATCGACACACTCGATGGCTTAATGGATAAAACAGGCATCCCATGTACAGTACAGGCCAAAAGTTTGGAAACACCTTCTCATTCAATGCGTTTTCTTTATTTTCATGACTATTTACATTGTAGATTCTCACTGAAGGCATCAAAACTATGAATGAACACATGTGGAGTTATGTACTTAACAAAAAAAGGTGAAATAACTGAAAACATGTTTTATATTCTAGTTTCTTCAAAATAGCCACCCTTTGCTCTGATTACTGCTTTGCACACTCTTGGCATTCTCTCAATGAGCTTCAAGAGGTAGTCACCTGAAATGGTTTTCCAACAGTCTTGAAGGAGTTCCCAGAGGTGTTTAGCACTTGTTGGCCCCTTTGCCTTCACTCTGCGGTCCAGCTCACCCCAAACCATCTGGATTGGGTTCAGGTCCGGTGACTGTGGAGGCCAGGTCATCTGCCGCAGCACTCCATCACTCTCCTTCTTGGTCAAATAGCCCTTACACAGCCTGGAGGTGTGTTTGGGGTCATTGTCCTGTTGAAAAATAAATGATCGTCCAACTAAACGCAAACCGGATGGGATGGCATGTCGCTGCAGGATGCTGTGGTAGCCATGCTGGTTCAGTGTGCCTTCAATTTTGAATAAATCCCCAACAGTGTCACCAGCAAAACACCCCCACACCATCACACCTCCTCCTCCATGCTTCACAGCGGGAACCAGGCATGTGGAATCCATCCGTTCACCTTTTCTGCGTCTCACAAAGACACGGCGGTTGGAACCAAAGATCTCAAATTTGGATTCATCAGACAAAAGCACAGATTTCCACTGGTCTAATGTCCATTCCTTGTGTTTCTTGGCCCAAACAAATCTCTTCTGCTTGTCGCCTCTCCTTAGCAGTGGTTTCCTAGCAGCTATTTGACCATGAAGGCCTGATTCGCGCAGTCTCCTCTTAACAGTTGTTCTAGAGATGGGTCTGCTGCTAGAACTCTGTGTGGCATTCATCTGGTCTCTGATCTGAGCTGCTGTTAACTTGTGATTTCTGAGGCTGGTGACTTGGATGAACTTATCTTCAGAAGCAGAGGTGACTCTTGGTCTTCCTTTCCTGGGTCGGTCCTCATGTGTGCCAGTTTCGTTGTAGCGCTTGATGGTTTTTGCGACTCCACTTGGGGACACATTTAAAGTTCTTGCAATTTTCCGGACTGACTGACCTTCATTTCTTAAAGTAATGATGGCCACTCGTTTTTCTTTAGTTAGCTGATTGGTTCTTGCCATAATATGAATTTTAACAGTTGTCCAATAGGGCTGTCGGCTGTGTATTAACCTGACTTCTGCACAACACAACTGATGGTCCCAACCCCATTGATAAAGCAAGAAATTCCACTAATTAACCCTGATAAGGCACACCTGTGAAGTGGAAACCATTTCAGGTGACTACCTCTTGAAGCTCATCGAGAGAATGCCAAGAGTGTGCAAAGCAGTAATCAGAGCAAAGGGTGGCTATTTTGAAGAAACTAGAATATAAAACATGTTTTCAGTTATTTCACCTTTTTTTGTTAAGTACATAACTCCACATGTGTTCATTCATAGTTTTGATGCCTTCAGTGAGAATCTACAATGTAAATAGTCATGAAAATAAAGAAAACGCATTGAATGAGAAGGTGTGTCCAAACTTTTGGCCTGTACTGTACGTTGGCAAGGTCCTTGCACAGCGGCTGGGACCCCCCTCCCCCCACACTTAGACTATCCTATCCAATAAAAGGCTAAAAATCCCAAAAATAATCTAGAAAAAAAGATATTCATCCATCCATTCATTTTCATCCACTTATCCGGAGCTGGGACGTGGAGGCAGCAGGCTGAGCACAGTACTCCAGACATCCCTCTCCCCAGCAACACTCTCTAGCTCCCCCTGGGGGATGGCGGTCCCAGGCCAGATGAGATATATGATCCCTCCAATGTTTTCTAGGGCCTCCTACCAGTTGGACATGCCCTGAACACCTCTAGCGCCCAGGAGGCATCCTTATCAGATTCCTGAATCACCTCAACTGGCCCTTTTAGACACAAAGGAGCAGCAGCTCTACTCCGAGCTCCCTCCACATGCTTGAGCTGAGATATTTATTCTATATGAATATATTTTTCCTAAATAATACAGCTATTGCTGAGCCAGACCCTATGTGACTACAAGTGGAGGCAGGGAGAACGGCACACCATCAAGGGGAGTGGGGTGGACATGTAACCAGCTTTAGGTTCCTCTGTGTCCACAGCAGAGGGGAAGTGAGGATATTGCCACACAGATGCCATGACAAAGACAAAGGCTTATTCCTGTACTGAGGAGGTTCAACATGGACTCCAGTCCAAGATACTCTGCAGCTTTTACAGGTGCACCGTTAAAAGTACCCTGACCATTTGCATCTCTGCTTGTTGCACTGCCCCCAACTGTACAGCATAACAGAGGGTGGTGAAAACGGCTCAACACATCACCAGTGCAGAGCTGCCATCCATGGAGGACCTCTTTTTTTGCTACTGTAATAGTTGTGTATTTGATTATAAGTAGCTTGAAACTTTAAGTGTGTACTAATAATTCATAGAAGTTGCATGTCTGCTAAATCTCCCGTTTCCGTTGAGGAGAAAGAGAAAAATCAGATGAAGATATGTATCATCAAAGTACTGTAAATAACATTGTTATGAGGATTTCTGTATTATGGAAGAAGGGAAGTGCTATTTATAGTAAGAGTGTGTTGGAAAAGGGAGCACAATGCATTTGTAGAATATTCTAATTTCAGGTCAATGAATTTCTAAATACGCAAAAAAATGAGAGCACAACAAACAGCTAGATGCGGAGACAGAAAATGTGTCAAGATCTGATAGAACAGATTTAACTGCCATTTAAATAAGATATGCACAACATTAATGCCATGGACTTGTGCTACATTTGATGCAAGATAAAATTATCTTTACAAAGAGATACTTCCTCATTGTCAGGTTTACCTGGGCAAGCAGTGCCCTCATTTGCAAGGGTTCATTGAAAATACAGTTAGCCTAAAGGTAGAGACTGCCAGTGATACAAGATTTCAATTCTTGCTCTAATGTGCTAACAAACAAGCTGGTGCTAATGTCTAAATGCCAGCTACTATTACCCACCAACTAGAAGAATGAATGCAATTTGCTACTTGCATTCCTATGGTTTTACACCCAATACTATCCACACAGTGTTCTTTTCTTCCAGTGCTCTTTGCTTGAACTTGTCAAGCTGCTACTTGATCTAGAACCTAAATCTTGTGGGTGGGGCAACAAAGACATTTCCTACAGTTATATTGCTCAAGAGCCAGATTGATAGGCATCCTGGCTCTAAATGCTGGCATTGCAGGCCTGGCTCTACCCACTGGACAAAGTGGTAATGGGCATGAGAACTGCTAAATGGCACTTTGCACCAGTTTAAAGGAGAAGGATGTGTCAATAAGGAGACAATAAGAGGGTTGCTTAACAGGATATCCTCCTGCAACTCCGTTGCAGGAGGTAGTCCAATCTTTAGATTCCTTTTTATTCATTTTAAACTGCAACATGTGATGAGGCTTTTGCACATTTCCCCCAGACAATCAGCTCAACTCACTGTGGATCAGCAGTGTGGGATAAAATTAGAAGTTTATTAATGTGTTGTTAGTTTAACCAAAGACATCTCACAGTGAATGATAGCAGCCCTGCAAGTCAGTGTTTTATGACTTGGTGGAATTGAAGTTGCTCAACTAAAAACATAAATTCACAGAAACAGATACTTTTCCTCTCCAAACCTCAGTGATTTATTTTTGCAGGTATAGAAATAGAGGATTCATATTCCAGAATGAAGACTGCCAACATATTCTGGCTATTAGACACAGCATGTTTATTATGTACAGCATAACTGGTGCCATATTCACCAATGTATTTGATAACCAGTGTCAGAGCCACATAAATTCTACACAACAAAACACAAACAGATGCAGAAAGTTATATGTATTCAAATGAATCTTGCACACAGTCAAATATATATTTTATGGTAATTCAGAAACTCGTAGGTCTCCTATTGGCGTTTTTATTGGATTGTTCAGGAGTCCAGATTCTGGGAATGTTGTGCAACGCCTCGCAGACGTCATAAAAATTTGAGCCAAGTTTAATTTTTAGTTGCAAACAAATATTTCACAATGAAGTATGGGCAAGAATTCTCTGCCTGATTAGCGATTTGGCACGCACTGTAACCAAACAGCTTGGGAGTCGATAAAGCCAATTTCAATCACAACACTTTGGCTGCACAGGTCACACAGCAGGATGTGTGTTCTACTAGGCTAAAAATGTTGCAGGGTTAGTCATACAAGAAAGGCTTGAATGGAGATGAGGATAAATCATGACAGATGATGAAGGTTTGACTGTGTTTTATTATCTGAAAATCTAGTTTTTATAGTCCAAGCAGCCATTAAACCCCACTTCTGTTCATCGTAAAAAGGATCATGCACAATGAAAGACACAGGAAGTATGCTTCGGTTACAGTTTGCTATCCAGTTTCTGAGCTGGGTTTGGTTTGCTTACTTTATGTAAGCCATGTGCGTTTACAGAACAATCATGTCACACTAAATGATGTCTGTGTGAAACACACCTTCCTGGTGATTATGATGAACACTGTTAAAATAACAATTACAAATAAAACAATGATGATCATTGTTCCAAAGTGGACTTCCTGTGCTTTTGTGTGAAACAAACAATTCACCGAAGGATTTCTCAGATACTCTGTCATTACAATGTTTCCATCACTTGTAAAGCACACAGCATCGCTCACATCAGGCAGTTTTATCTTAAGCTCGTGAAGTATTTTCAGCCATTTACTGTCACAACAGTTAAAATAATTTCCACTAATATACATAACATTGAGGCTTACAGATAAAGCAAGAATCAAAGACTGGTTTAAAGTGGCGAAACGATTATTCCTTATGTCGATTTTTCTCAGAGGAGAGCAGCTCAAGCTGCTGGGTATCCCATCTAGATGGTTGTTAGATACGTTCAGCTCCGTTAACACTGGCATGCAGGGTAAAGACAGCTCAGAGGTGGTCATGTTTATTTCACTGATGATCAAGGACTGAAGAGTCTCTTGCACACCTTCCAATGAGCCTTCTTGCATTCCCATATGTGCATTGCTTGCGAGGTTTAGAGAAACCAAAGAGGTTTTCTGAAATGTGTTTGGGTGAAGCATTTCGATGTTGTTGTCTTTAAGGTTGAGGTGTTTAAGAGTCCTTAACTGCCCAAAGACAACACAGGATGCGTTGAGATTCATGTGGTGCGGTGGCTGAGAGCTCGGAAAATGCTCCATGGGGGCACATGGTTGCACTGAATTGTCTTGGAGATTTAATGTTTCTATTTGCGTGAGCGCATTAAGAAATAGTGGGGAAATGGATGCAAGTCCATTACTTTGCAGGTCGAGGTACTTTAAGGAGGGGAAGAAAAGCTGCCGATGGTGCCCTGATTGATCATTTCGTACATTCCAGGTGATGTTTTGCAAACAGTTATAACTGAAATTTAGAGTTTCTAAATTTAAGAGACGGCTCAAAGTCTCCAGTGGGAAAGACGTGAAGTGGTTATAGCTCAGGTCAATATAAGTCAGTGGCATCAGCCTCCAGTTTGAGTGCAGGTTATTTTTTCTAGGTGTTTTTTCACGCATAATCTCCCTGTAAAGAGCATTGGCCTGTGATACCATTGTAGCCTCTGACTGTAAGGCACCAACCATATTATTCTGTAGATAAAGATACTTTAAACGATTCATTTTTGGAACAATTGGGAAATAAATGAGTTTGTTGTGACTCAGGTCGAGGATTTCAAGCCTGTACATCTGGTCATTCTCATGCGTGACAAAGAACTCCACTGAATTTTGACTGAGGTTTAGATATTTAACTTGAGGCAATTTGAAATCACAGATATGTGCGAGGTTATTTCTGGCCAAGTCAAGCATCTCTAAATGACCCAATGGTTCAAACGTTCCCTGCTCTATCACCGATATCTGGTTGTCATCAATAGTAATGGCCCTCAAACCTGTACTCTCTTTGAACAAGCTGTGTGAAAGTCTCGTTAAAGCATTACCAGTCATCTTAAGCTGATCAAGAGAAGATTTGTTTCGGAGGTACACTTCCACTGCATCATCTCTCAAGCCGTTCATTGATATGTCCAAACTCTTCAGTCTACTGATGGTTTGGAGGGCCTTGCCGTTCCTGCCAAAGTTGTTGTTCAGTGCATTTCTGGACAAATTCAACTTCTCAAGTCGAGCCAGGTTTTCAAAAGCCCCTTCGGAGATGAGATCCAGCTGGTTGGAGCTCAGGTCCAGCTGTTCCAAGTATGGCAAAGCAAGTGTGTGCAACTGTCTGATGAAGTTATTGGACAGGTCTAGTCTTCTAAGCCTTACATCCAAATCCAGAGGGACAGAATCGAGACTCTGGTTGTTCCAGGACTGCTCCTTGAAATGATAGGAACATTAATCATAATCAAAGACTGAACCACAGAGAGGAAACTAAAAGATGTTTGCAGATTAGAACAAAATTAGAATTATAAATCTCGGGGCCTACCTGCGGCTCATGATATGGCAGTCCAGTTATGTAAAGGTCATGGCTGAGTGACCAGAGTAGTAGGAGATTAGAGAACATGTGTCTGACCATCCTCCCTCTGCGGCTTCTTCTGCTGCTGTTAAACTGTAGCACGACTGCTGTCAGAGCTCATATATACACACACACACCCCCCCTCTTATAGGCATGCTTCATTAAAAAAAAGGGAGAGAGAAAACAGCTGTGGACACCAGATAGGCACTGCGGATACTATATTTAGACAATAAAGGCTTGACCACAGATACATCACTTTCTATTAAGAAAACATCCCAGAACTTTTTCATTTGGATAAAACAGGCTTTTAGACAAAGATGGTCGTATTTCTGTGTTTAATGTGACAAATTACACAAATGTATACATTCAAAAAACTTATTATGAACTTTAATTGAGAATTTATCTCCACTAAGGCCTATAATTCCAACTACAGCTTAAATTTTGTTACAATATATTAAAGTATTTACAGCGCTGACTTTGTGTCAACCAGGAAAACACCTCCCGAGCGATATAAATTTATACCTTTGTTTGTTCCTGTCAAAGTCTGAGGAAAACGGAAACCATTCTAAAATAGATGAGAGGAACAAACAAACAGACGGCGTGGAGGTGGAGCTGGAGGGAGGCCCCCAGCAAGGTATAAAGAGACATGCGGAAATAGACCGATGAAAGGAGGTGGTAGCTCACGTAAACAATGCTGGGGGACAGGCCCAGGTGGACTACCTGAAAGATATCGGTTTAAAGACAAAGGATTTTAAAAGTCTTCCAAAAAAGAAAACTGACACATGAGATGGGCAGTTCATTTTAAAAGTTCATTATGTATGTTCCAGAGATTAATGACAGGTCCCGACAGTTTTCCTGCTGCTGTCACTTTGCCCTTTATCAGCGTCCCCTCACACGGCTCAGTGTCAGTTTCCTACATCCTGCAGCAACGAGCTGCACAGTTATCATTGTCATACTGTCTTGTTTCAGTTCAGCTGTATGACACCAAAAAAGGTCCATTCTGCATCCATAGAGATGAGGGCTTGGGGCCTGCATGGTATCACCAATTCTAGCTCGTCGTCCCGACGCAGCTGCACCACACCTGTAACAGAGGATACATAAAAGAGGGCATCAGAGGAGATACAAGATGGGTGAGAAATTAAAGGAAAAACTGACATATGTCTCTGAGTGAGGCCAGCTTCAATGCTGCTTGGCTTAGACTTTACAAATCTCTAGAGCTGTACTGGAGGGATGGATGCCAGTCTCAAAAGATATTCCCTCATTTGGGGTGCCATTTAAAAAACTGTAGAATCCATGCCAGAAAAACGTATGGACAAAAGCATGCAAAAAAAAAATGGATCAGAGTTTCTCCCATCAAGTCTGTTTTTATAGATCACAGTTTTAACGTGAGAAGTGGCGTATGCCTCTTTTAGGCCTCATTTCATTCGCACACAATGTTTAGAAATGAGACCCCTGGTGTTTACAGAGCATGGTGGGGGGGCTGCTTAAGTTAAAGGATTGCTCAGCGTTCGATGAGAAGATTGATGCCACTCTCATGCCTGTACGCTTAAAATGAAGCTAAAACTAGCAGCTGGTTAGCTTAGCTTAGCACAAAGAGTGGAAACACAGGGAAACAGCTAGCCTGGCTCTGTCCTGATGTAGCAAGATCCTTCTACCACCAAGTAAAGCTCACAAAATTAACACAGAATATCTCATTCATTTAGTCTGTACAAAGACAGAAGTGTAATTGGCCAGAAGCAGTGTGGAAACCTCAGGGTGATGATGAGACCCATGATGGGCGTCTGAAACATCTGAGTGCTTATGATTCCCTAATGTGTCGTTCTGTAGTGCAGTAACAGCACTGAATGAACAAGCGAGGGCAGATTAAATTGGACTGGAGTCAAGACCTCCACTAGCCAAGGCCAGTGGTGCACTAATGTTCTCCTCAGATGGTCGTTCTTTCAACTTCGGTGTGTTCATGAGCTTTGAGTTGTAACATGGAAACAACATGAATGCTAAAAAGATGTGATGTATTTTGCCACTCAGAACATTTGATATAATATAATATAATTAACACGTTGATAACAAAGAGAGCTAACCGAGATGTCTGCTATTTACCCCTTAAAGAATGACAGATCGTTAGTTAGTGGCATTTCTGTAACATCATATTGAGCTCACATAGCCTGTCTACATACTAGTGGAATGCCGAATTAATGCATTAAAATTGAATATTTTATCTTTATTAATGTAAACCACACCCACAGGAATGCTGCTCTGCCTTGCAGCCAATTTTCCTAGTGGCGGCTCGCGGTATTGCAGCAAAAAAATCCTCTGCGGTTCACGTCTGCTCTCTTGCTAATATGATTTTTTTTCCATACAGTATGCACCAGATGAGCGACTCCATTGGAATGAATAGGTGCCATCTTGGCATCCATTATCTAGGTATTATTATAAATCTATCATGTAAACTTATACATGATGTTAGGTAATACATACAAGAGAAGCTTTGTGGGGCAGGCAGCGCTAGCTGTCAAACATGCATGTACGGTAACAGAGTGTCATGGAGAAACTGACACCATATTTTGCAAAGACCTTGAAGGATCAATAGCCGTAAATATTTCAAGTCTTTTTCAAAGAAACCAATACTGTGAAAAGAAATGGTCCGCCTATCACTAGATGACATTCCAGGAAGTTCAAGTCACCACTCCAGGCCAAGAAATAGCACGTAATAGCACATAATCCTCTGCACAACTACCATGTGTCGCATTTACACGTGCACAAATAAAAAAGAAAAATAAAAACTCAAGGTACATAAGAGCGAGGAGGCAAATTTTATTTATGCTTTGGACAGAGTCGGACTAGCTAGTCTGTGTGCTAATCTAAGCTAAGCTAACTGTCTGCCTTGTATTTCCCAAAAGGACATGAGAGTGATAGCTTCTCATGTAACTCTAAGCAAGAAAGTGCATAAACATAATTTTCAAAATGTTGAACTATTTCCTGTAGCGGCCACAATGCAGGCTCACAGCACCAGCTCACTGACCTGCGGTGTAGCACGTATTGGCAGGAGTTTCATCGGGCATCTCCTGCAGGCAACGCAAGAGCTCTGTTGATGTTGTCCCCGTTCTAGTTGAACACCAACTTCGAATGACATGACCCATAGCTCGACTCGGGCTATTGAACAAAACCTGTGAATAAAGCAGAACATTAGCGGAACAGTTGGAACAAATCAGATGTAATATCAATTTAGTTATGCTTGAGTTACAGTGACACAATACTTGTCCAAACACCAAGTAATATCCATCCTCTTGGACAACAATTCTGTTTTCCTTTTGTGAAATTGTATTTCCTTGCTGCGCAGAAACAGTCCAAGGGATCACTGTTATATTTCCTGCGGGAGATGGCAAGATACACTTACTCAAAATAATGGCATATGGCGCGATGCTAAAGCCAAAGACTTGAATTTAGTTTTACCTCTTACGTCTGGCTGTTTGTTGGTGTTAGCTGTTAACTGCAGGAATGATGTTGGAGCTGGCAAGAGGAGGGAATAAACATAATACTTTAATTTTATTAACTTAGCATATACTGTTTATGCTCTCATTACCAGATTAGACTGTGACTAATGGACACATTTTCAGTTCTCAGCTCCAACCCACCTCTGTGGCTGCCCTGTTCCCGTTTTACTCTGCTAGAAGATATCTTCAGAGAACTCTGAGCTTTCTGCAAAGTACTTGGCTTTATGTCCTATGAGAAAACAAAGCATTAGGAGAAAATTTATTATTGCAGCGTTATCTGAACACTCACTAATGGCATAAATCTCAGTAGTACAATGTCCAAGATGACTCCATCCTGCATAATCAGTGACATACCTCCCTTGTTTTAGACATCTTGGCTGTTTTCCCATTGACTCCCTCAGAACGTGGCTGATTTAATTGTAGAATTATGTCCCCTTGGAGTTTGCGAAAATCATTTTCTAAAACACTGGCTTTGTGCACCAGGAAAAGACTAAGACAAAACATAAATGCTGTGAGTGATAATAAAGCATTGTAAAGCATTGTGAGACTAGCGAGACAGACTGCATGTCCTCAAGTTACTCAAACGGGTGAGGTCACACATCAGTTAACCCCGGAAACCTAAACGTTCAGTTCTTAAAATTAGTTCCTAAATGAGGAACTATCTCCTCTCTGCCTCTCAAGATGGAACTCATTTAGATTGTATGAAGATTACAGCCAAATTTGCAGCGCATTGTGAAACTCGCAGTCAAAGTAAAAAGCCACATTTTAATAAAGCCAAAGGCCTCACTCCGAGAACATCATTTGTTCTTGTCAATACTCGTGCCAGCGGAGTTCAATATGAAAGAGAAGTTTTAACCTTTTAAATCAATACCACCCGCCGCACACACACAAAAGACAGACGAATGCATTTAGACAGAAAATGAAACATTTTAATCCATCAATCAACTCCATTTACAAAAGTATATCCCTTTTTATATACAATATGTACAGAGACGTATAAACAACTATCATTTTTCCACATGGATTCATTCATACGGTAACTAAAACAATAGCACTGTAACAAAACATATCACTGATATTCTGCAGGGATGCTGTAGTGCAAATGTGTGCAAAATATATAGTGCTGTTGCTCCGTGAATACCTTATAACTCCAGTTTTTATGGATGTGTCTCAGCTTTGCATAGATACCTTTATAAGTGCTTTGAACATGTATATGATCTTTAATCATTCTTATAACCCTGGGGCATATGGAGCTTTAACCACTTATAATTGTTTATATAATTAAATTAATTAAAATGGCCCTGTATACAAACTGCGAATAAAACATTTTGAGTAGCTGGTGTTTTTGGAGATACAAGATTATCATTCAACAGCACTTAAAAATAGGTAAATATTAAGTACATGTCAGCGCAGTGTCCTTCCTTGTTATAAAGAGATGCCGTCCGTGTTGACACAAAATGGGGGCTATAAATAGGACCTTTTGTTTGACGAGGCTTATCGAGGCTCATCTCTTTGCACAGAATCAACGTGAAGGGGAAGTGTGACAGTCTATGTCGTCCCTTTTAATACAGAGCTGTGAGAGTGAACACAAGTCACCTGGGGGCTCCTCGACCTTTAATAACCCGAGGGATTTAAGTTGCCTCTGAACGGCGGGGGCAAGACGGGCGCATTTCATGTAGAGTGCTGGTGGCTGTGCAGTTATCAGTTCTGTCCAGCAGATGGAGCCTCTCCAAGTCTGACACTTCCCAGGAAGGTGGTGTGATTGGTCATGCTGATGAGTGTGTCCTCATACACTATGCGTATGGAGATCCTCTGGCCGGCGCGGAGCAGGCTCACCCCAGCCGTGTAGCAGGTGTTGAACTTGCGCTGGCCCGTCTCGATGCTGCAGGTGCAGCGGAGGAACGGGTTGGAGTCCACCATCACCTCATAGCTGGCAATGTCGGTGAAGTTGAGGTAGTACACCTGGTGGAGACATAAAATGCACACGAGACTGAGAGGGTAGTCAAAACAAGTCCACATGATATTAAAGAGCTTATTTAAAGTTGGAACAGCTGGAATATCAGAGTAGCAAACAAGGGTTTGAGTTATAGACGCTAAGCCACAGGGAGAGGGGGGGAAAAAACTATGTCTCATAATAATATCACTCAAACATTTACGGGTCAGCAAAGCGAGCAGGTTTTTAAGCTTAGCTACAGAGGAACTGCCAGTTCTTTTGACTCTGAACTGTAAATTATAAGAGTTACGTCAAGGACCGTACTCACTTCTACCTGACTATATATGAAGTAGACACCATCCAGCAGCACCTCCAGCTCTCCAGAGCGAGAGTGCATTTTAAACACGCGGTGATGGATGGACACCATCTTCCAGTTCCTAAGGATGCCTTCAGACAGATCTAAACATGTCACAACAAACAAACAAAGAGGCAAACAGTCAACATAAACAGCTTTTAGCAGTGTTTAACCACAACCAGAGCTTGGCGCTGGCAGAAAATATAAACCTGCTAATGATGCTTACACTCCTCTCAGGCTGACAAGGTTATGCAGGGAAACCTAAATCTGCTAGCATGCGAGGACTCTGCTCCGGAGTCAACACGAGTCTGACTTATAACATAAGCCTATAACTGAATACTAATCCTGTAATAGCTATAGGATTACTTTAGGGTTACTATAATCTTACCTAATCTCAAAGTAAACATTGGTGGCAACATTTAGTCCCCTAAACCGTAAACTCTTACATTTATTCTGGTGTAAGTCTGCAGAACAGTTGCAGACCCAGGTCTCTGACATGTTTACTGATGTGTGTCAAAGACAGGGGTGCAGCTCCAGCAGAGAAGAGACAGAAGACTCACCTTCTCTCACTTGGATTGTTGTCTCCTGTCCTTGCAAGTGAACCACTGCAGGCTGAAAAGGAACAAAGATCTCTGGTGACTAATCTGAATACACAATAAAACAAGAGAGCAGCTGCTTCATCTGGGATTCTGTGTGTGTGTGTGTGTGTGTGTGTGTGTGTGGGGTGAAATTTAATTTTCAATAGCTGACATAGTCTACCTGGAATTCTTTTGTTTTCGTCTTGTCGGGAACCCCTGAAACAATAAGAGAGCGGGAGAGAGAGATGATAAATTTCTGGCCTTCAACACGGCTGGGGAACAAAGGAGAGATGATGATTAAAAGAAAACAAACAGTGAAATAGTTTAAAGAACGATCACCGCTCTCCCACACTATGTTTGACATCCTGCATCAGAAACTCTCACTGTGAAGGCAATGAGTTCATTGATTTTGACAACTTGAGCCCCCTTCTAGTGTGGGAACGGGTCCGCATGCGGGAAAATACTGTAATCTTAGAACGAATCTCGAAACTTGTGGGTGTTTTCCACTCCTCTGGCTCAAGTCCTTGGCTATCTCAGTGTGTTATCGTGTCATTTCTATTGTAGGTATTAATACCTGCTGGACCTTGAGTGCCCGGAGGTCCCTGCGGCCCGGGGGGTCCAGGGGGTCCTGCGGGCCCTACAGCGTTGCTTCCTGGAATACCGGGGATTCCAGGGATGCCCGGTGGCCCCTGTGGGCCCGGGGGACCAGGGGGACCAGGGGGGCCCGGCACAGACCTTTTTTTCCCTGCGAAGAGAGAAAGCAGAATCAGCAGTTCGCAAAGCTTAATCTTTGTTTTTTAATATATCCTGTAATCACAAATTTGCCTCCAGTGTACAGCCTGTGCAGCATCTTTACACACTGTAAAGTCTGATATTTAAAAAAAGACGAGGCAGGATTAATGTGCCTGACGGACAGAGTTAAACACTGAAAGCCAACACAGTTACTGGATTTTGGATGACGTCTCACACATACTTCCAGAAAGTAGGCAGCAGGTAGCAGTCTAATCAATGACCGAGATAACCGGAATTTAGGCTAAATTATGTATTACCTTTTTTCTTCTCTTTCCTTCTCTCTCTCCCAGTCGGTTCTGTAAGAAACAAAAACAGCGTGATTAAGCCTGAAATGGTCTCCCGAACAATTATCATCTCGGATAACATCTCGAGTATCCCGTTCATTCCGTGTAGGTATCCTAAATGGGCTAAAATAACAGATTCAGATGTTCGGCACTGAACACTGGAGTGGAGGTATGTCAGTCTGTGGTATCTTCTAGTGTAGTAATTTGTAAGTGTGGTTTCACCTCCTCTGTATGAACAAGTGCCTTAAGCATTCACAGGCAGTGGAACTGGAGAAGATCATTAGAGAGATACTTTATCCTGCCAAAATCCTTTTCTTTGAATTAAGCCCAGATGGAGAATGCAGATGAAAGTGTGTGTACATGTGTGTGCGCGCGTCTTCGCTTTACAGCCATGTGTATGTGTGTGCGTGCACGGATGTTGGTGGGGCATCTATGTCAGCGCTTGAAAGACAAAATGCACTTAGTGTGTGTGTGTGTGTGTGTGTGTGTGTGTGTGTGTGTGTGTTTGTGTGTGTGTGTGTGTGTGAGTGCAGCTGAAGAATCCTTTTCAAAAAGCCGTCTCGCTGCTCTTGTGTTTACCATGTCATTACAACTACAAAGGCCATTTAACCTTAAAACCTCACAGTTTGAGTCCCCCTCAAACATATGGCCAGTGTTTCTCCTCTGGCTAAATGACTGGATGCATCCGCATAGATTTCTCTTAACGAGCAGCCCTATCTGGAATCTGGTGCCCGTTAGGAGTGCCCAGAACGCACACATACGCACACACGTGCAAACACAGGACACACACACGCAGGCACACACAGAAACACACATCTAAGGCTGAGATTACAAAAGCCTTTGTCTGTGCGCTGAGAGCAGAGGAGAGACCTGGGAATGATTAGTGTTTAGAGGCTCGGGACTTTACTGATTTATGTAGAAAGTCTCAAAGGTGAGTTTTTTCTTCTAATTTAAACACAATCACTAAACTTCCCCCCAAGTATTCAGTGTCACGCCACAGACATTGGAATGCCTTGTGATCATGCTGCACTTGCTGCACTCAGACATGGAACTTCAAAGGCTCGGCTTTTTTTATTTGCATAGTTGGCATTCTAAACAAAAACTACAAAAGCTAATTCAGACATATTGGCCATGTGGTTTTCTGCGGAGCTATTGATTACGATAAATCAATTTGGAGTAATTAATGAAAGCCATCACAGCCTCGGATGATACCCTCTTTCAGAAAACGGCCACCTGGCTTAAAAACGACTGCATGTACTACAAAGTAAATTTTTTTTTTTGTCTTGTTCTCCGACGGCTCAGACCTGACCGATAACACAGTTGGATTCCAACAATGTGCTTGTTTGACAGATAAAAAGATATTTCAGGGACTTGATATTATTTTGAGACGGGGGAAATCAACACGGGCTTCGCCTGTCTGTTTCAAATTGGTGAAACCCTCCCAAACTCCTTGTTGTCCTTGTTTGCAATCCAAGTAATAATCAATCCCATTCCATTTAATCTCGTGCTCTATAAACTCGGCAACATTATGCGGTGGGGCTGCTTTGTTAAGTAAGCACAAAGCAGTAAAAAATCAATTCCACAAAAAGTGACAAACCATTAACAAACGGTTTTGAAAATTTAAGAGCTTTAAACCCACCAAAAGCCTGTTATTTACACTGTACTGAATCCCCTCCAAACAAACGAGCTAGAGAAACCGTTGCTCAACAGAAGACAAAGCCTTTGCCAAGTGCACATCCAGAAAGTAGAGTGACGCAGGTGCACCAGAGAGCAATGGTTCGTGCTTGTTTTTTGTCAATAAGGGTACTGAATCTGGAGTTTGAGCCTGACTCATACAAAAGGGTTAAGAGGGGGACACTAAAAGTTGAGTATAACTTCTGAATAGAGGTGTAAGAACAAGCTTTGGTAAATGATAAATCCAAACGTACCTGTTTCTGGCTGCTTGCCGGGACTTCTTTTCGCTCGCTGAGTTATGCCCCTGTTATCCTCTGTGGCGTGGAATTCGCTATTTCTGTGCAGTAACTTCTCCTGGTGAAAAACAAAAAAGAAAATATTAATGAGTATGGAAAATTCACATGGCAGAACAAATCAAGAGGGCCACTTGCTTTAGACTCCTCGGAATATGAACACCAGCCAAGACCACCTCGTATTAATTCCGTGAAGCGAACAAAAGGCATGAGTGATACAAGTTTTTTGAGAGCGAAACCCACGTTACAAGTGGCCTTTTCTATTCTTGGGGTATAATGTTTGCACAGAGACAACTTGGGGCATTTGAAAAGATGTGAGACACTGTCAGCCAGCGCATTCATTTGTGGCCAAGTCATTGTCTGTCCCATTGGGGCTGTAAACCATCCTGTAACCCAAGTCACTTTTGTCTGTGTTTCTGCCGTTTGAGACAGTCACCTGGACACGACTGCTCTAAAATTCACCTTTTTATACAAAAGGAGGACATGAATTGTGGTTAATCTGAGAGCAATACCCATTCATATGGCACCTGGTCTCGGCCCTATTCAGAGGTAGCATGAATAAGCTAAAAAAAAAAAAAAAAAAAATCAAAGAAAAGGATCTGATGTAGCTGGTCTGAGCTCATCCCCAAAAAACAGGAAAAGCTATGCTACAGTGGTGGGGTGTTCCCATGGGCGAGTGAGTGGCGGGGCAAACCACATGCCTGTGTTCTTATGTGACTGGTTCTGGTCGACCTACATTCACATGAACTCTGTAGGACGTGCTGACCTGACTGTGGCACGCTCGAGACGTGACCGGCTCTGACAACAAAAAATGTTCCATGCTGAGGATTCAAGAGTTTCAGATCGTTTCAAAGTCGCTTTCTGTTAGAACAGCCAGTTTGTGATCACATCTTTGGAGGGTTCCCAGAATCGCATAGACAAAGAAACTCGGCACTACGAGCACAACAAGACCACCCAAAGCCTCCTTTTCGTCGAGCAGAGCAATATATACAAGATCGCTTTCGGTCACACTTTGGAGTGTCAGCATAAATAATGGAAAGAGTGAGAGGCATGAAGGCACTGGATGGCTGAGGACAGGCGACCAGACAACTTATATTTGTGCCGGACATCTGCTTGGAGTTTGGATAACTGACATCTCCGACGCGGTGACACGTGCAGCCCCTTAGCATGGATCAAAAGATAATAAATAATGATGTATCATTTATTCTCACTGCTGGGAATGAAGCAGACAAGCTTACTGACAGACACTTTGACCTCTCTCCTTTTTTTTTCCACGTGGGCCGAACCCAGTTGGGTACAAGATGACATACTCCATGTTTCCAGCTGTGATGCTCAAGTAAACATAGTTGTTAAAGCCCAACGGCGAGAAATCTCCTTCTCTGGAAAGCAGCGTGAACTCCCAGTGCCTCTTTGTGTGGTTTTCGAGCAGAGCCACTGAAAGACCATAAGAAGACAGACAAGAAAAGTTATGTTTCGAGTTTCTTCTATACCTCGTCTCAGATGTGGGAACCCCCCCTCCTGTGGTGAGGGATGAGCTGTATCATGTCAAACACCCCCCGCTGGCTGTGTTGGGCAAGCTCAGAGCAGTTAAAGTCTACATCCCTGACCAGCTGCCAGCCATGTCTGACCTTATAAGCACGGGAATTCCAGCCTGATGGAGGAGTATGTGTTGGAATGGTTCGTCGACACACAGAGCTCCAGATGTTCCCGCGAGCAGCGACGTTTGCTGTTCATTTGGCGCGCAGGTGTCTCCACATCTCCTCTCCAGCTGTTGGCATATAGGGGGCTTTTACCTCTCAAAGGATTCTGGGTGTATGTTCAGGCATATGGCATTACACTTTCGTCTGTTCTGACAGCCAAACATGATTCAACAGCCAATTCCTGGCCCGAGATTAAGCCCCAGCAGAACGACAAAAAACAAACAAGCAATCTGCTAGGCTACTACCAAAACCAGTACATCTGGTGCTGCAGATGAAGGCAACAAAGTGATTTTAAAATTGAAAATAAAAAAAGCCAATCCTTTACAGGACTGTGAGAAATGGTTTTGCGCCGTTGTTTGCTTCATTTCACTTCATTACAACATTTACAGCCTTCATACCGTTCAAAGGCACGCAGAGTTACAGTAAATCAGGATGACAACGTGTTGGTATGTATGCCAAGTGCCAACTATTGAGTAAACCATTCTTTTTCAGCGCGAGGGAAAAAATGCTATTAATTAGAGGGCTTTCAAAGCTTCAAAGCATGGGGGGTGCTGTTGCGCGCAGAGGACGCGATTCCCCGTTGCTCCGTGAGGATATGACTAAAATTCAGTCACCCCAGGGATGTGTAATTTAGTGATCACAAGACTTCTTTTGGCCCTATTAACACTTGCTATTACAACAGCTTGTATCTCGTTTCTGCACTCAGACCACAGAAATTCTCCGACGTTTGTAACTTTTAAAGCGGTTTATTAAAATAAAAGGGCCACAGCTCATGTGTTTTTCTGAACAAAACTCATTTCCAGACGTTGTGGTTGCAGTAACGCCTCTAAATCTTACACCAGCAGTGAAAATTAGTCACTGAATTGTGGTTGAGAATAAGAAGTTAGAAAGTTGAAGAGGTGAAACTCGGGGCTGGTGGCTGTGGGCACCAGATGCACACTGGGTGCTTATGTATGTTGTATATCTGGAGGCACGTTCTTTTCTTTACATACCTATCATGAGAAGCATGACAATAAAAGCACTTTATTACTATTATTATCATCACTGCTGCACAGGCATTACTAACTTTAATAGCACGCTGATAATTGCGACTGTGACAGCGTGTTTTCTTCTTAAAATAATATCCAAAATTAAGTGTCCTTACCTCAGCCAGCATCACACACTGCTCTCTGAAAGGGCCATGTGTTTTAAAGCACAACTCGGGTAATTTAATAACAGTGTCCATAGATTGTCATCTAAAAAAGCTGTGGAGCTCAACCTAAGGGAAATGTTGCCTGTCAGCAGCCAATCACGTTTCAGATTGTTGCAACACTGCTGGCAACGCGGCTTCTCGCTGAATGCTGCGAATGCTTTGAGAATTTATTATTTTGGTAGATGTTTGTGACTCTGGACTTCATCTTTACTGGGCGTCTGCGCCATCTGTCTGTCAAGGCAATTCGGTCTTATATGGAAAAGTTTGCAGCCTCACATCTCTGGTGTTTCCACCTCCTCCGCCTCGTGCTTTTATGACACTTCTGTCCATACTGATTGATTCCTGATATGGAGGCTCGCTCCATGTGTACATATGATACCGCTGTTTTAACTAATCATGCACTGGTCACAATTAAAGTAGATATGGGTGACAGCCCACCCTGGCGCCCCAGAGCTTGTATGCTGCTGAGGACTTTGTGTCCCATCAAACTGACTTTTTTAATAGCCGTTAACTAGACTCCAGATGTTTCAGCATCTGTTCTCTGGGAGACTTTGAAGGCATACATCAGAGGAGAAAATTATTTCATATAATGGTTATAAGAAAAATGTTAGGCTGAAGAATAAAAACGCTATCTGAGCGGACACAATTAAATATTCCATGGGTCGAGTTTTAGGACGTGTCACTCACCGGGGTCAGGTGAACGAGGGTCGAGCAGACTGTGAGTGACACTTGCTCTCATTCAGTAACGCTTTGCATCACACTCCTCAGAGCTGCGCACACCTGGAAGGGGCTTTTTACTGTTGGGAACTGCAGCAGATCTGCTGGACAGCTGGGATTTACTGCCTTGCTCAAGGGCATACCAACTGGGACTATTGAGGGGAAGACTGTTTGTTCGCTCCCCGGGCCCGGATCATAAATGACCACATCATCTGCTCTCATTAAGAAGCAACAAGTTGTGTCTGAAAAAGTGTGAGACGTTAAGTGGTACGTTATTGTCGAGTGTGTGTGAGAGCAATTCTCCAAAAAAGATCTGACCAAAATGTTTCTATTATTACATTTCCTGCCATTACTGTATATTTAACAGTGAGTATTTTCCATTTCTGTACCTACATCTAAGGAAACTGATCAAATAAAATTCCACAAACACCATGGCAGATATACATAGGCTCACATTGTGCTGGTTTGATAGCATGTGTTCTGCCTGGTTTTCTTTGCTCCGCAACACCCTGCAACCTGAGTTACGTGCAGTCCCTCCTCTGCTCACAGACAGATTCTGATCAGACACTTGTAGTATTACGGCTCATGTAGCCTAGATTCTTATCTGGGAGTTACAGCCACACACACTTCCTTCAGATCAGTTGTGGATCTAAAATTTTTTGTACGAAATGCCTTCAGAAGTTCACTTTCTACAAGTGACGGGCGGTTGCTCTATGGAAGGAGACAAAAACATGATGAAAATTCATTCAAATGTGACCAAACTTTTCTTTTCTTTTCGTTTGCTTTTCACCTTTGCTTCTTTCCACGAGCACTCTGAGAAGACATATACATCTTAAAACTCATGTCAGTGTCGTTTTCCATTTTAGTCCACTTAAAAGAATTTAATCCTCCCTAAAGCCACGATCACAACTGAGAAAAAACGTCTCTTTCCGTTCTGTTTGACTCAAAAGAATTTCGCCAAATGATTGATGTTCGACACTGACCGGCCCAGTTGAGAACTATCTGACACACACTTAATGTGGTGCGCGAAGCTGTTATTACACCAAGCCACTTGCCTTTTTTTCTTTTCAAACTACAACTCGACCACAACGCCGACTAAGTCCATGTGAACTGAGGTTACTCACTGATACTATGCGATGATGACAAAGCCTGGCACTTGATGTCTGCCCCAACAGATATGTGGTGTGCATGTTTGTTCCTATAACTGGTTGTTTTCGCTTCGTGTCTTCTGAAGACTTTCCAAATCTGTTACACTTGTCTGTATACCTGCACATCACATCGAATTGCACTGATGCTGCTGAGGTGCCTTTGATGAGGACTTGTGTGAAAAATCCAATAAACAATTTTTAGCTCTTCAGAGGAGATTCTTCAAAGGAAAATGCCTGGAAAGCTAACAAGTGCGGCCGCCGCGTCCAAATGCCACATGCTCCTGTTTCTCCAACTATGTAAACTGTGGGATGTGTAATCAGAGTTGTTTAATGCAGACATCTGGCAAGGACAGCATCACAGCGCTGTTAAATATTTACAGCTGGGCCACAGTCTTTCACCTCATGAAGCGTCACCATCTGGGTTGAATACCAGACCCATCTCACTGGGCTTTAACTGGGAAAACCAAACTAAAATAAGCTTAGCAGAGGACACGCTGATGACTAAATGAATAGGCTCAGCTTCCCACTTGTGAGAGGAAAATGTTACAAGGCAAACACCAATACCAGCAAATGATCTCTGTGATCTTTTTTTCCTGCAGAGAAATGACTGTCTCCATCCTCTGGGTGAGGATCGAGTTGACAGTTTGTGCAAAAGTCCAGCCGGTGCCCCACACGGCGGATTATTTTCCCCTGCAAAAAAGGTTACACGCCCGGTGACATGTGAGCTAATTGAGCAAGCAATGCAAAGCTAAGACCTATGCCTGGTCCCTTTGTACTGATGAAATTAGTGAGTGTGTGGTGGTGATGGAGTGAAGTGGGGGGGTGGGTCGGCTGTTGCCAAAGCCACAGACAACACAATGAACATTCAATCAGACCGCTGCCAGAAAAGAAAACACATGTGAGACGAGTCTGGCTCGGCTCCAAGTACCAACTGCCCCATCTAAGTCCTGATGAATTTACATCAGCCCTTGGGCTTTGCACCTGCTGGTGATCCAGTTAATTTTCCGTCCACCTGCTCCAGCACACTGACTGACCCGTCTCTGTGAATCCAGCTGGGCAGGATGCCTAAGTTTTGAGCATCAACCTCTGTCTGTTTAGGGAGAGCTCTGGAAACAAGACAAATTGGGTTACATGTGGTTTGATTAAGGACAAATAAAACAATATCTGCAGCAAATGAGTTCACTGTGGGCTTTATATTTCTAAAGCAGTGTCTTATTAGATGTGGACAAAGTGCACCAACCCTCCTTGACTTCCTTGATGTGCCTCCCTCTGGATGTGTTTACCTGAACAGGAGACTTTGGCCAGGTGACAGATTTAGAAGCTTATACCTTTGTGCATCTCTGTCCAAGAGGCTGAATCACGCACACACGGGAGCGCTGATTCAAAACATATTTGTCTGGAAACTGAGCTGACAAAACTTCGTGACAAGGCTACTGTAAAATAAGTTGCCCAGAAACATGCCATGACAGGGCGCAGACACAAAACCTGACACCGTGATACGGGAACAGGAGGACTGAGCGGAGGTGAATGAACACGAACAGCCTCCGCGTGAGGAATGAGAACAATGTCGCCTTGAATGGCTCCTCGTTTACTTTTAAATTAACTTTCTTTTATTTAAATGTGTTTTTTTACCTCATGAGGCTCTGTGGTGCGGCTGCTCCCGGAGTCCAGTCGCGGGTGTCCGGGTGAGAGCACCGCCGCCGGGTCAGCCAGGTCACTCCCCGCAAGTGTCAACATTGAGTCCCGCTTCTGGTGGATAATTTCCCTTTTGACCTCGGACCGCAGGTCCAAATAGCAGACGAGGGTGACAGCGTGTAGAGACAGCGACAGCAGGAATAATCCCAGGAAGACAACACTGCTGCTCCGACTCCTGCACTTCTTGTTGCACGTGCACGGAGCCGCTCTGGGCATCACTTTGTCCGGGAAATCCTCCGCGGATGAACCATCGCATGCCATTATCGGACGGAGCGCGAGTCAGATGCTTTTTATCTCGGCATAATCGGCTCGTGTGTCTCGCGCGGGCCGCGGCTATTCATTAACGTGGAGACTCATAGGTGCAGCTGCAGGCAGCAGGTCGGTGCAAACTTCTTCGAGTATCTGTAGTAACAATGGAGACCCGCCCACCTCGCTTGTGATTGGCCCGTGACAATTACGAACCCAGACAATCCGGGCCAGAGGTTGGGGGGCTGGATGCACCAGGTGCAGTAGTTGAGCGACACCTAATGGACAAAGCGAGCAGCTGCAGCGCATGGCAGATGAGAATGAGGTGATGGTGTGAGAATATCCCCCTCTTTATTTATGTTGTGTGAGGCAGGGAAACACATTTCCTGCCCCTCTTCAGTGATTAATATACTGTTGATGTGAGCATGCATGGGAGTTGGTGGTCACTGATGTAATGAATATTGTTTGCACATGTGTTTTATGTGTTTTAGGCTTTGGACATGCGATTTTTCATGGGTGTATTTTGTTTAGCACTTTCTTTTGTTGTGTGGGTGGCACATGGAGCAGTGGTCCTGCGTGAAAAACTGATTCAGAGCCCTGGTAAATACTGCTCTGACAAAGAACAAGCGGTTGATGATTTCATCATATCATCAAAGAGTGGAAAAGCATTGCAAATTATGTTCTTAAACAGACTACATATTATACAATTATATTTAATTGCATCTGGACCCTGTCAGGCTGAGCAGTACGATAGTGGGCCTGGAAGGGAGTCAATGTCACAGTGAGGTCAGCACCGCTCTGTGTACAACACCATCAAATACTCTAAACACGTGTCACTCAGCTGGACTTGGGGAATAGTTTGACATTTGTGTTACCAAAAAGCCAGCTTAGGACAATGCTTTAAGAAGATTGAATGTGGCACTGCGGTTTCGACATTTCCAACATCCAAAGCCGACCTTAATTTTGTTCCTTTTCAGATGTAGACACTTTGATCTCTGAAGCAGGGAGCCAGAGGTAGCCTGTGGATCAGCCCGTCCTTGAGCCTCGGGATGATGAAACCAGTGCACCGAGTTGGGCTGAAACTTGGGGCTCTTGATGGATCACCAGCTTAGATTAGTTTTCAGGCAAGTGCCACAAAACATCTGTCTTTATTTCATTGGGACAAAACCTGACATTTGAGTGCACTTGACCTACACAGAGGTATACTCTTTCATGATATGCGCTCACCCTGCCAGACACTGACTAATCGCTGGTTTTCACTTGGTACTGAGGAAGGAAATAATGGAGAAGAATGACTTTTTTGAAGATCAGAATATGGGTATTTCATCACTGTGAAATGTTTGCAGCATGAACTTGATTACTATAAGAAGGTGAGAATCTATTACTGTGTTTCTCGGGGTTGACTCTGCTCTTACTGCCACACTGCATCACAGCCTATTTCTCCTCAGTGCAATATGTTTCATTCCTCCAGCTCATCCGCAGAAAAAAAGTGATTCTCGTGAGCTGCCACTGAAGGGCAGCATTGCCAAGCCATAAATCAATAACACTGCATACCAATGTCCTGATGAACTTGAACTTAAAACAGCTTCATATTGGGGTGCATAATGAAATTTAAAGAACTTCTTGTATTTGTATTCCGCATATATATGTTTATATATCTTCTCTGTGGACTGCTGATCACATATTAAGCATCCTCAGTCTCTCTCTGCCAGAAAGTCATTTCTCCATTGTTAGAATATAAGATAGTGAAATAGTGGAGAGAAAGACATTCAAAGTAACCCTCATAGGGCCTGTGACTGAGGGCTCAGCCTAAGCACGTTTGCCACGCTTTTCATCCAAGCAGCAGGCACAATGACTTTGAGAAGCAGATAATTCAGGACTGGAATAGTTAAGCACATGCATTTCCTATGATTTCGACCCATTTTTTAAAAAAAATTAATATTTAAGTTCAGTATATACATAGCTAGCTTTTGGCTATTTACTCTATCATATTTTATTCAAAATAACATGTCATTTCTGTGGAAAGAGAATGTCAGACAGCCCTGAGCTAAAGGTCAAATTCAACACAATGCCACTGTCTGAGTCACCTCCGTATCTGCCGCCTCGCTTCACACAACGCAACTTTAAACCCTGTGACAATTAAAAGCAGTTTTGTTGTCGTGATTGTTTTTCTGGCATCGAAAAAGAGCAGGAATAATTCTTATAACATCCCCCGGGCTTCAATGCAGCGTTCATAAATGGTGTGCCACTCTATCCTCTCTGAGCTTATAACAAGATTTAGAGGCTTTCCCTGCCAGATGATGGAGTTTTGCAGGAGGAATAGGCACTCTTCTTTTTTACCACGCACAGTTGAGTGGTGGGCAACAACAAGCTGTTGGAATATGACAGCTGCTTGGTCTCAACTAAAGAGGTGCTGTCTGTAAAGTCCTCCGTTCTCCTATACCCATTGATAAAAGAGCACAAATCAAAATCGACTTTCAACTGCCATCATAGGGAATCACATAGGAGCCACAGTGATTCATAGCTAATAGAATAATACAGTCACACATTACAGTAAATTGTTTTAGACCTCCCCACCCCTTACATTACCTTCTCAGGAGCCATTGTCTGTGCACATTGAATCGCGGAGGTGTAACCTTGGCTAATTGATATGCTGTGGCATTTGATTTCCTACCTATAAATCTCCTGTAAATTGGACAATGTCTCCCATTTCCCCGGACAATGATTAATTCACTCTCATTGTGGGTGTCTGTCTCAAGAGTCCTTATCAAGATGGGAGAGCTCTCCCTGCCTTTCTTTGTGCACTGTGCTGTTTTTGTGCCCTCACGTCGCTCTCTCTCTCTCTCTGCTTCCCATCTATTTGTGTTGTGTGCAACTCAGTATAGAAACACTTTGGATAAACTTAATTGATTTTCTCATTCCACACAGAATTGGTGCAGTTTAGTGGCCTTTTTAGCATGCAAAAGGTTGTTTTGTGTGTTTTCTCAAGGCAGCCATATTCAGGGGGATCGGTAAACAATACCATTTTAAGGCTGCATCTATTCATTAACTGTTTTTGTTTTACTGTTATTTTGGGGGCATTTTGCCTTTATTAAACAGGGACAGTGTTGATACAAGGAGGAAACACAGGGTGAGAAGGAAGAGTATGACACGCAACAGAGACTGTTGAGCTAGAAATTAACTTGGAAAATTGCTGTTGTATGGTTTGCATCCTAAAGGAATACTTCACCCACAAATGATCATTTGTATATCAATTACTCAGCCTGTGTTTTTTGTCGCATGCCAGCGGTGAATGAAGAATCCAAAAATGGAGAAAATTCTTGTTGAACTGAAGTCATACGTAACAATAACAGAACCTCATCAAAACATCCATTTATAAACTCTTACACAACTCACGCAGCACAATCCAAGCCTCATTTATGCAGTCGTGTGCCCGACTTCCCAAACACATGAATTTTTGCGAAAACACTTCTGTTTAAAACACTTTGACATGAACAGTCTCAGGCGCGCTATTCGTCCATGTCTGTGATTGTTTATGCAGTTGTGTGAGCGTTTGTTAACCGGTGTTTTTAATTAGTTTTGCAGTTGTTTAACACGATCCCGTATGGATTCTTCATTCATCATGGAAGCATGCGAGGAAAACAAAGTCTTCTTCCAGAATTTAACGCAACACTGGGTAAGTAATTGATATACAAATGATTATTTTGTGAGGGGTGAAGGGTGGAGCATTCCTTTAACCATGAAATCATTCGATAATAGATTAAGTAAAAGTAATAGCACTGCAGTGTATAAAATACTTTGCATTTTATTTAGAATAGAAACCAAAGACTGTAAAAATAATGGACGTAGCTACCGTGATGTCACCCATTAGTTTGTCGACTCCCATTTTGAAGCCTCAACTTTGGCATTTTGGGTGTAGCCATCTTGGGTTTTTTTTGGAGCCAGAAGTGACTATATTTGGGCAGGAGGCTGGCGCTGTGGAGGAGCAAGGTGTGGATCTGACTGAAGGACACCATCCACAGACAGCCAAAGTCAATGCAGCCCATTCTTAATTATGCATACCTTTAAGCCTTAATAAAGTGTTTACTATACCAGGTTGTAAACATGTTTATTTCTGCTGTAAATCTTAACATGGGTGACTATGACTGACTGGCTTCTCCAGCCAGCCTCAAGTGACCATTTGAGATCTGCAGTTTTCAGTGTTTCCCTGTTGGCTTCATTTTTCAGCCCCAGAGGTTTGCTGCTTGCTAGAAACCGACAACCTTTCAGCTCCCTCTTGCCTGCTTGCGTTTCCAAGCAGTAGTATTGTTGGCACTCATTTACTACTAACTTTAACTTCTCATTATATGGTATATAGCCAATATATAGATAATTATTTCTGATGGAGTGATCTGTAAGCAGGTTATAGGTTGATATGACAAGCTGTTGCAGTTACTTATCATTCATTTGGTGTCCCATTTTTGTCCACATGAATTGTTTACATTCATCAGAAATGTAAATCCAGTATTTATTTTCCTTTCAGCTCTGTTTTTGTCCTTACTAACTCCTGAGGGAAATAATTGTCTCTTCAGCTGTTAAATGCTCTTCTTTATTCACCAACTAGTTACTTACTTCATCTGGCAGCTGTTTGGGCAGTAATTTAGATTGAAAGACGTTAAACTGCTCTGTAGGGTTGAGGGGAACTGCAGAGTTTTCCTTTTATATTACATAGTCTGGCGTTTAGAGTGAAATTGCACAAGTTTTACATTCGAACTTTCTTTTAGTACTTGAAGTTTGTGCACACTTTCATCAGAGTTCCTGTCCCTAAAAGCATTTTTTTCCTGTGCCAAGTTTTTCACTGTTTAAGGCAATTTATTAAACAGTGATGTTTTGCTGTACATGCTGTAATTTTTTTTGCCTTGCCTCAAGCTCAGCAGTACTCCTCTGTGAGTAACCTTGTCTGTTACACTGCAGCACCATCAGCAGAGACACGGCGCTGTAATTGTATTTATTAATGAAAAGCAGAGGACCTGAGAGACATACAGAACACTCACATGACACAGAGCGAAGAGCTGAGGAAACCAGAGAGGAATACAATCGTGCCATTGATCAACTACATAATGGTTATTGAGATAACCCAGAGTAAGGCATTGCTGATTGAGCATT